TCGTATCGGTGGTTCCACACCTCGTCACTCATCGAAGATGTCAACGAACTCGTCTCGACAATGGCGATTTCCAAACACCTCGAGCTCAATTACGTAGTTGACAGCGACGTTCCTCCTATGGTGAAGGGCGACAGGGTCCGGATTAGGCAGGTCCTATTGAATGTCATTGGCAACGCGATCAAGTTTACTACGGAGGGCGAGGTCTTCAGCACCTGCCGTGTTTATCACGATAATGATGCCTTCCTTAATGAGAACGAGATTATGCTGGAATATTCTATTTTGGATACTGGACGGGGCTTTACCAAAGAGGAGGCTGACCTTATTTTCAAGCCATTTAGTCAAATTGATAGCAGCAGTACACGTCAACATGGTGGTAGCGGTTTGGGTCTCGTCATATCGAGGCAGCTAGTTGAGCTCCATGGCGGCCATATGGATGGTACTGCTGTCCCAGGCAAGGGCTCGACTTTCATCTTCACTGCTAAATTTGGTCTGCCGACTGAGGACGACCATCCAGAGCCGCCAACGACACCAGTGATGAAGAGAACGACTGAAAGCCAAGCTCCAAGCGCTCCTGAAATATCAAGCACTGCACAACCTGGTCCTTCAATTTTAAGTTCTGAACTGACACAGTCGCCCCCAACCATTCCTCCGAGTGCCGAGAATGCCGCTACCTCCCCGCAGAATATCTCGTGGAACAGCTCGAACCCGTCAAGTCCTTCATTGCGTACTCTAGCAACGCACTCGTCGGGGTCGTCCGGAAGCTACGGTCTCAACCAATTCCACCAATCCGCTCGAACTGGCTCGCAAGACTCGACAACGATGAGGCTATCGCCGCCGGAGAGTCGACAGGCTTCAACCGATCACAGCATGCCTTCATCACAGTCTAGCGCATCGTCTATCTCTGTTCCTGGACACACAAAGCTCTTCCGCCCACCATTATACTCCATCCTTGTAGTATGTCCACAAACACACAGTCGAGAGGCGACGAAGAAACATATCGAGATGACCCTTCCGAAAAATATACCCTATCAGATTACGCCTGTGGCGTGTCACGAAGATGCACAGAAACTTCTCTCTGGTGATGACCCTATTATCTTTACACATATAGTATTAAACCTACGGTTACCCGAGAACATAATTATCATGATGGATCAGATCTTCCACACGCCATCTATGTCCGAAACTTCCATCGTTATCCTCTCCGACCCGGTCCAGCGTCAATCGGTCATGAAGAAAGCGACATACCACGACTACGACCAGCTGGCAAAGCATGGTCGGCTCAACTTCATCTACAAACCGGTGAAGCCGTCAAGGTTCGCAGTCATCTTCGATCCGGACAAGGAGAGGGATTTGAGTACGGATCGCAACCGCTCGAGCGCTCAGCACGTTGTCGCATCTCAGAAGCAAAACTACCTCGATGTGGAGAAGCGGCTCGGGAATAAGGGTCTCAAGGTCTTACTAGTGGAAGATAATCTGGTCAATCAGAAGGTCCTGTTGAAGTTCCTCAGCAAAGTAGGAATTCATGTAGAAAAAGCCATGGATGGTGTCGAGTGCACGGAAACGGTCTTCGCAAAGCCACACGACTTTTATTCACTTATTCTTGTACGTCCCCTCCTCCCATCCGAACCTCCCATCACAACCCCTGGCACTGCGGAACACGAGCTAACTCTCTCTCTTCACAGTGCGATCTTCACATGCCGCGAAAGGACGGGTACCAGACCTGTCGCGAGATCCGGCGTTGGGAGCGGGAGCAAGGGTACCCGCGCATGCCGATCATCGCGCTGTCGGCGAACGTGATGGTGGACGTGGTGGACAAGTGCGTGTCGGCCGGGTTCAACAGTTATGTGACGAAGCCCGTTGATTTTAAGAGCTTGAGCAAGGCGATGATTGATTTGTTGGATCCTGTTATTACGTGATTGAGCGGTCGGGTGCTGGGGCGGTTGGGCGGCTGGATGCAAAGCCGAATTTGGGGGGGTGGGGAATTGGGGGTGTTTGAAAGTTTGTATTACGGTTTGGGTGGTCATGGAGATGTACTATTAGAACAGGTATTATTGAATGATCTTGAAGAATTATACAATAAAGCCACTTCCCGGGGTCGGAACTGCTGAATTTGGCAGGACGCGGTCGCTGCTTTACGCTTAACCTCTCGAAAGGCACCTGAACACGACTCACGTCACAGCCCCACGTCGGTTACCCTTCAAACGGTCCCTGGTTCCTGGTCCCTGTGGTCTACTTTCTGCTTTCCGTTTCTCTCTTTTCTGCTCGTTCCAACGGACCACTAGCCACCACGATCATGATGCACTGCACGCTGGACCACCCGGTCGCTCAGACTGATCACTTGTTTAAATACGTTGCGATCCCGTCGCCCACATCCAGCACCACCTCTTCCAAAAAGCTTGCCCTCTCATGCCGTCGAGCCTGGTAGATCCTCGTCTCCTGAAGGCAGGCTCCCTACGACTCCGTCTGCGGACCTCTGCGTTCATCTCGTTATCCCAAGTCTGTCATTGAGTCGCCTATCACCACCAAACGAATGGCCAACCGGCAACTGCCTACTCCGAAGCAGAACATGATATGTTTCGTCACTAAACGAACAAGAAATGCTCGACAGCCAAAGAAGCCTACGCGCACCGCTAAGGACTACCGGGTTATGGGTTAAGAGCTTAATACCAAATCTTAGAAATCCAAGGATGCTAAAGCCACGAAGGAGAATGTCCGAGGCATATGGCGCAAGTGGACTAAGTAAGTTAACAACGTCCCCCTTAAGGCTCCTATCACTTACTCGAGATAAGGTTCTGCGCTTTTCAGGGTGTAGACGACGTGCGAGGAGCTATCTAACAATGCGATAGGGGGCCGACTATGTCGTTCCTATGGTTCATCTACGAGAATTGTAAAGTTAAGGCGTTTAACTCTGTCTACTAGTACCTGCTTTAGTTCAAACAGCTCTACAATCGGGTTAATAGGCGTCACATAGATATAAACGATGCAAAAGAGGTGTTTTAAGGTATGCTCTTGCATTTAATGCTACTTATTTAGATGTACAGAACATATCACACGTACGTATAGCCTAACGAAAAATGGGTTTCTTAAGCATCTCTAGATTCTAGTGAATCAAGGCAGCTTTTGTAGGGTGCTGTAGATGACTTGTAAAAAAAGGCTCTACATGCAACGAGCCTTCGACTTTAATAGCATTGTCTTTTATTGCCAAAGCCAAGACATAGCTAATAGGGCAAAGTATAGGAAGGGCTTCTTTATAAAAAAGGAAAGTTGTGCTAAAGTCGTGATGTTAGTTGCAATAAGGCAGACGGACTATAGAGGGACATATAGTTTTGGTTTCCTATTAGCACCTTTATGATAGGAGAAAGTGATCTCTATTCTAAGGAGGTCTCGTTTGTAACGCTGACTTCTAAATGATAGAAGACACAGAGGTTTCTTACATAAGGTTGACTTGACAGAGGAGGCAGGGGATTAGACACAAAGGCTTTCCAAGTAACACGTTACAGTATTGTAAAGAATACTATATTGAGTTGAGCACGAAGCTCCTATCTAAGGAAATACTATCTACTTATATAGTGGCGCCATGCCAAAGGGAACTGTAAGGAACTGTACAGGTTCTAACAGTTCCATCCTAAGGAACTGTGGGAACTGTAGGAACTGTATGAGTTCCAACAGTCTTCACAGTTCCATCCTAAGTTCCGCCCTAAGGAACTGTGGGAACTGTAGGAACTGTAGAAGTTCTAACAGTTCCATCTGTCACAGTTCACCAAGGCATAGGGCGCCAGTTGGGTATTATGAATTAAACTCAATCTAGAGAAGAAAGGAAAGAGAAGAGGAGCACTCGAGCAGTGGCTCGATCTATATACAGCTATGTTGTTGTGGAGTGAATTCTCTTTAGCGAGACCAGTTCTGAGAAGTCACTCCACAACTGAAAACTTCGCTCCAACCCCGGAAAGCTCCCCACACCCCTGAACCCCCACTCGAGCTGCAAGGCGCACTTGATATCGTAACACCATCCTGCAGGGTGACGTGGGGTCCTGTAGCGTGACCTACTCGGCTAATAGCTCTGCCGATAGCCGTAACATTGTTCTCCCTATGTGGGTTCTGAACAATCTAGAGATGGATATCCTCATAGCATAAAGTCTTATATTCCTGTTTAAGAGTGTTAGGGTCAAAGTTATCATCGTTATATTCAGTATTGTTTTTATTAACCCATGGCTCTTGCTAATGATAATTCAGCTCATCTAATCCTTCTTCCTCATCACTGTAATTTCATAACTTCACCAGAAAATAATACATCAGGTACGGAAAACGCCATGCATCGCTCAACGGACTGCAGCTTACATTATTATTACGGGAATACAATCTGTAATAAATTAATTTATATATCCCAAGTCTCAATTTTTAATTGTAAGTTTTATTACTTAATAAATTACGGTCGGTGGTTGTTGCCATGCAAAATGATAATAGCATCCAAGGCGGCAGAGTTGCTCGCCGAGAGGCGGCAATCTAGGGTGGTGATCTGGATGTTGATCTGATGCATTGCGCTATTCCAGATTCGGTAGGTGATCTGTGAGTTGATGGTGATTTAGAATAGACAATAGCCAATCCGGCGTTGCGAAATAATATTGTTAGTATAGCTTATTGTAGTTGGTAGCTGTTGCCAGATCAGCACGCCAAATCACCCAGCCGCCGTGCTAACGGGGCTATAAAGTCAGGGTCCGCGCCCGCCCGCGCGAGCGCCTGTTTTCTTTCCCCTCCAGATCGACTTCTTCCTGAACGCAGCACTTTCGTCCGAAACTTCTGCAAGAATTCAACACCCTTGAACTTCAAGAGTTCGATATCAAGTGTAAGTTACTCACATCATTAATCTTCATGAAACTTACATATATATAGCATCTTCACTTTCAATCCATTTCGCATTCACACACCCTCATCTACAACATTCTCCGTGAGTCTCAACCTTTCCATCGTCTTCTCACTCATTGTGTTCTCACTTTGACTTCGTCGTTCCTGTCCCTCTCGGTTTGACGCGCGCTTATACTGACATCCTTGTCCAGTCGCCAGTTCAGCGTCGGTGCTGCCAAGACATTCTCCACCAATCCGCGATCCCAGCGGTTGGTCCGAGCTCACCGTGCCCGAACTACTTTCCTGAATCGCTTCGTCTCTCACGGAATACCATTCTCGGCCAACAACACTGTCCGTCAGTTGTGACGACAGTCCTTTTATTTTATTTTATTCTTTTTGTTCAGCACGAGAACCTTTCGTCGAAGATGATGCCCGCGCCAAGACGGCGCACACGAGCCACCGGCTTCTCCCCAGGGGGACCGCGTGAGCTAAAAGACGCCCCACGGCGACACACCCGTGGCGGCCCTCAAACCACTGCTGCCGGCAAGGCAGCACCCACGGCACCATCCCGGACTGCCGATCCAATGGACCTCGACAAGGTCGAAGACTCCGAAAGCGGCGCCGATGTTCCCGCCAGTCCGCGTCGTGGTCGGGGTGAAACCCGTCCACTTCGCGCGAGGACGCGGAGCTCATCACCGCTGGTGACGACCGGACTCCCCGACAACCAACGCACCAGATCCCCCCTGCGAGACGCAGATGCTGCCCGCCAACCACGCCGAGGTCGACTCGGAAGAGGTCTAGGCAAGCACGCCCGGGTGGAGGATACACTGGCGCAAGTTGTTGGGCCTGCCGAGGAATCTGGCGGAGAGTCTTCGAGGTCGTCGGTCGCAAGACCAGCCAAGAGGCTCCGAGCTGGGGACCGAGGTGGGGAGGCCATACGGAGGCAGGTGGAGCGGGAGAAGAGGTTGATGTCGCCTCCACCGACCGCGCCGGTCGTGACGACTCCTTCGGGGGTTCGAGCCTCGGTCTTGCGTGTGGGGGCTTCGGCCTTGAAGTACCTGGGGTTCAGGACGGAGTCACCCCATCCGGTTGCTGAGGGTGATGGGGATTCCAGCCCATCCCCTGAGGTGTCCTCTCGCGAGGCACCTGTATCCACCACCGAGCGTCCTTCGGGGCAGGAGGTGGTGAAGAGCACCGGCGGGCCTGTCCAACCCGATGGCGGCGCATTGGCGTCAGCTGTCCTCCACGAGCGCTCTGGAGAAGACCTGATGCAGGAGCAGCGCCGCGCGACGGACTTGAGGAAGCTCCTCAAGCTCGGCCGTCGCAATGTTGTTCCACTGAAGGCTCCTTCAGAGTGTGGGAGCGACGATGAGGAGGCAGCCAAAGCTGCGTACAGGTTCACCGAAGAACTTAGACCTGTCAGCTTACCTTCTTACGACGCTTCCACTCGCTACGTCGGGTGGACTGAGGGTAACAGTGGTATGTTGGTGGTTGAGGAAGAAGAGTCAGATGACTCGAAAGATGACGTGAGTTTCCAAGTTGTTTTCGCTCTTCATTCACTGACATTTCACCACAGCGCAAGGGTAAACGTACGGATCACTGCTATTATCTCTCCAATTCCTCTTCTTCGGCAGGCCCTTCTATTCCTTTTTCTCCTTCGGCGGCACCTGGTGTCGATGTTTCTCCTTTGGCGGCACCTGCTGTCCATGTTTCTCCTTCGGCGGCACCAGCTGTCCATGTTTCTCATTTGGCGGCACCAGCTGTCCATGTTTCTCATTTGGCGGCACCAGCTGTCCCTGTTTCTCATTCGGCGGGTCCCGTTATTCCTGTCTCTCCTTCGGCGACACCCGTTGTCTCTGGTCCTGTTGTCAAGCCTGGCCGGAAACTTGTCCGGATTCTGTTTCCCGATGCTAATATCCTCATAGCAGTGAAAACCGCACTTGGCTGGTTTAACGAACACTCGGACACAGTCCCGACTCCCGATGAGCTCGTTGGCGTACTTGGAAAGTACAGATTCGACCAATTGGCCAGCACGACTGGCAGAACATACCGCGCGCCATCCCCATCTGATCCTTATGAGGATTTTGAATTTGAGAGCGACACCGGCGAACCAATCGATCGATTGGATGGCGAACCACTGCCTCCTCCACGCAACCCACGCCGCAGAAAGATCACCGCAAGATCCGTCCCGGACTTCAATGGCCCAGCCGACGGACACCTTCCCGTTTCATTACAAGGATTGCCATTCGACAGTTTGCCAAAGGAGTGGCAGCTGCACAAGAAAAGCTGGAAAATCAAGCAGCGAGACCTGATTCACGAAGCACAACTCGCGGATCGCCGCGACCGGGGGATCGATGAAGATGATTACCAGATGGGCCTTCGGGCTCATGCCAAACAAGAGAACCAAAGGCGCCTGAGAGAATCTCAGCTTGTGGCTGCTGGAAAGGCCGTCAACGACAGAATTCGTCTTGGGCAACTGAAGCTCGAGAAACGTGCCCTTAGGGCCATTGCCGACAAGAAGCGCGCAGAAGCCTTCAAGGCCGCTAGTGAGCCTGCTGGGTGGCTCTCACAAGAGAGGGCCGGAAGATCCTCCGTGAGAAGATCTCCTGTCGCCAGGGCCCCACGATACGCATCACCACGATGCCCAACTATCAGCGAAGAGGCCGACGAAGAGGCTTTTGCTGCCGCGCCTGGCCCCGCGCCCAAGATGGGCGCCGACAAGCCCGAGAGACCCTCCCCCGCTGCTCCCGCGCCCGCGCCCGCGCCCAAGACCGCCGATGACCCCGCACCAGCTCCGATGGTCACCAACGAGCCTGCCAGTGCTCCCCCGGCCAGACGTGGCGGAAAGAAGCCCAGAGCCAACCCCCCCGAGTGGGCCGGCCTGCCGATCAACCCGAGGACCCACCTCCCGGAAGGGACGGTTGGGCTGTTCTACGACGTCAACTACTTCTCGGAATCCGACGACTACTCCGACGAAGGAGAGTCACCAGCCCCAACCGCGGCTGCCAATGCCGTCGTCAGTGACGTCGGCGTCGACGTCGGTGCTCTTGTTGACTCAATCCCGAGTCACGAGTTAAAAGCACTGTTTGCTTCGCCCGACGTCGGCGTCACTGACTTCGACATCACCTCGATCGTCGACGCGATTCCTCGCGACGAATTCGAGGCTCTAATCGGCATCCCCCTCCCATTGGCTTCCGACAGCCACGACAACTTCGCCCCCGCCAATTTCGCCATTTCCGACGACGTGATGGCCATGGTCGACGCCATCCCCGACCGCGACCTCGACGAGATGATGGGGGGCATCTTGGCTGGATGTTCGTCGGCTGGATCCGATATGGGTCAAGTCGGGGTGTCCTCCTGATTCTCGGTCGCCCGTGGCCTGGTCCGCTCCGTCGTTCGGTTTGGATTGGTGGTGAGACCTGGGCGTTATTGCCAGGCTCACAACGTTGTTGTTCGTTGCTGGTTTCCTCCGTCGCCGTCTTCCGGGTTCCGACTGGACGTCCGCCGGTCTGTCGGTATGGGTTCTTTTGGGTTGTCCGGAGGGTCAGAAAGTGATGCTCTGACCCGATGGCTCCTGACTGAGCGTCCGTCGGCATTCCGGTATGGGTTCTTTCGGTTCTTTGGTTTTCGGTGGCACCAGCAGATGGGTTTGGGATTGTGCGGGTGGTTTGGTGCGGTTCGGAGCTTGTTCTTGCGCGTTGTGCGGTGGGATTCTGGTTTGTTCTCTGGTCGCGGAGGGTTCTGGAGATGTTGGATTTCGCGCTGAGGCGCCGGGGCTTGTGGGATTGGGCAGGGGCATGGAGAGCTGGGAGTTTACGGTGAGATACCGGTTTGTACATGGGATTGTTCTGGTTTCTGGGAGCATGGGAAGCATACATGGGTGGCATTGCGGCGGAGTTTTCTGGTTGGCGTCTGTTGTTGGAATTGGCCTGTTGGAGTCTTCTTGTTTTTTTTTCTTGTTTTTAAAATACCATGGCGGCGCCCACGATGATAAATTCCGGGGCTGATAGAAAATGAAACGAATTCTTCAACTCTCACGTTTGGAGTGCAGTGACTGATCACGAAAATGAAATTAGGAGCCTCCTCTCCCCTCTTCCCCGTCTGTTGATAAAACCATAATTTATTCCGAGCACCTGGGAGCCTGAATTCACGATTTGGAACTTCAATATGCAACTTCAAAAATATACAAAATCATGCCCAAATGGTCCAATCACACACGCCGGCATATTAAAGTTGCGTAAGTACCTACTTTATTCATAGGTAACTTATGAATACAGATCTGTGCTTATATTCCAGTAAACGAGTGTCTTTTTGTATGGGAGAAGCACAGACCTGGGTCAAAGCAATCAACATGACCAGCCATCCGCGCTAGGACCTCTCGCTAACCCATGCACTTTCCTGCCTTCCTGAACGATTCCTCTCCCTCCAAGCTCTCGCGTCCGTATGATTTATTGTACTGCGAGGTTTTTGGAACTCGCATTCTTTGAAATGTCGTTGTTATAGCCTGCCGACAATGCCAAATGCATCATACCACAGTTGAAGCATAGCCTGCAAGGTTCGCGCCATAACCCAGTCAGCGCCCGGCACGATGATGGAAGGACTACGACAGCGACAGCTTGATCGACTGGCCCTCAGAGGTTCGCCGACGAAGGCATTACGAGTTACGACGTCGACTGAAGATGTGAAAAATGTAACAAGCTTACCTGCTCAGCCGTTTGCGAGATCGGATGTGACGATGCTGGAAAAGGGAGATATGGCCGAAGAGAGCAGCAGGATAAAGCGATACAACGAGGACGCGTTTGAGACGCAGAATTCGCCTATTCGCTCGAATGGATCATTCGGAGAGGTGAAGAGGGATGGCAGCGCTGAGAATGCCAACGCTGTGATCGGAGGGAAACAGTTTACGATCTCCAAGGTTGGCAATAATGGGAGGATATACCTAAGGTACGCAGCTGTCTGGACCGTAACCTGCCTTTCCCCGAATTCACACAACTGTTTCTGCTCGTCCATTGCACGTTTTCTCCTGCTCGGCGAGTGCCATTTCCTGCTTGTTGACATACGCCACTGGGTCAGGGTCCAAGCTAACCAGTACCAGACCCCGGATACGGCCTGCTCACCAGCGATATCCTCAACCTCCATTTGCATTTCCAAACCCTTCTCCAAATACAGCTGGATTAGATGAAGCGCTTGCTAGGAAAGAAAGAAGAGGGTCGTATAGAGACACGATGTTGAGCGCCGATTCATCAATGTCGACGCCCGCCAATCCGGGGTTATATGACACCAATTCGACACCAGCGAAGTCATCCACAAGTCGTCACCGAAGAACACACTCCTACTCTACAGTAGACGATCAACGATCTGCGATACAAGACTCTGATTTAGGAGCATTTAAGGTTGTTATTGAGCGACCAAGCGCCGATGGAAGAAGGCCAAAGACATCCGGGGGCCACCACCGCACGCCCACTCTCGAGGTAACAATCCCATCATATAAACTTGGCACTCCACGTTTCAGTAATAGAGGAACGCCATTTATGCGAGGATCATCATATGCTGGGACCGAAGTTGAGCATCGGTCTAGCTTCATATCTCAACGAGATGCTGATATGTTGGCACGGATGCGAGGCTCTAACCTTCCGAGACGGTCTCATTCAATAAGGCAGTCGGTTGTGTCCCACCCTGGCGACGTAGAGTCGACCTATGAGCTTCGACTGCCTCCCACTGGACTGCTACGCAACTCTCCAAACATAATGCCTAAAGGTCAAATCGTTCCAGAGATGTATGATGCCTTGACTTATCCACCACGATGTGAAGACCGTTTAGTCATCAGACGAATGTCTGAAACTGATATGATCACTGCTGCGACTCCTGCGCGTCTTGTGGCCGAGGTGACGCAAGAGCTTTCCTATGAGCTGGTTGCAAGCTTTTTTATAACGTACCGATCGTACATCTCCGGGTCCGACCTTCTTTTACTGGTAATGGCAAGGTTGGAGTGGGGCATTGATAGAGCCTTTGATGGCCTTGTCGTCACTGTCAGATGCTTCACAGTTATTCGGCATTGGATGGTGAACTTTTTCGCCGACGATTTCGTACTTGACTACGATTTACGTGTTCAATTCTGTGGCTTGGTGAATACAATGGTTAAGAAGCAAGCGTTGCTTAGAACCGACAGCAAGACGACAAACGATATCCTATCAAATATTAAGAGGCTGTGGAGGGATTCTTGTGCTGTGTACTGGGATGGCCCTGAATTTGCATGCGACCTGGATGCGCTGGTTCCCATCGCTCCCGGTGGCATTGCTGGGTCTAGAAATCCACAACTTACTCCGAAATTTTGGGACGACCTCCTACAGTCACAGACACCAGGCCAGGATTTCGAAGATCCCGCGTTGTCAAAATCCCCTATGGTTGATCTTGATCTACTACACGATTTCCCGGCACCTCCTGCCAATAGATTTTTTGCGACTGTCCCTCCCGAATTTCCTATTGAGTTCAACGAAGCTCAACTTCAACAGGCGTCTCTACCATGTGGCAACAGGACCCAGTTGCCGTATCCTGAGCCACTCTCCCCACGCAGCATTACCAGTGTGGAAGCTTTGTCATGCTCTATCCTGCCCCTATCAAAGACCGGACAATTTTCTGCTGGGGCGGCCATGGGAGCTCACCCAGTAACAGCAGCATCTCAAAGTGGCACTATCCTCCCAGTTGCACACACACCAAAGGCGCTCAGGCCAAAGTCTTATCGTCCAGGGCAAGGTTTCCAGCGCCATCGTAGTGTTTCGAACTCTTCTCGGCCGGACAGGACGACCCTAGAAGCCGACACCGAAGAAGCTGCAAATGGCGAGGCAGGCTTGACATTGGTTGATAGATTTGCGGGTAGCCTTGTTAGAGGCCTTGTATTCCCTCCTGGGCACGTTTATCTACCGATTGCTGATCCTTCCGAGAATCGACCTATTTCTCTTCCAAATAAAAAGGCAGCGGCCCAAAAGCAAGATACCAACCAGCAAGGCCTCGGGATGAAGAGAATGTTTGGCACTGTCCGGCGCGCAGTCAGTACCAAGGCCGATAATAAGCCTGAACCAATGCCAAGGTCACCGCTAACGCTTGGATTCCCGGGTTTATCACTACCAGTTGACGATATTGAACTGGCCAGTCTCGGCCTAGGTGGAATGGGCACCGAGCGAGCACCTTTACAAACCCCACCGAAGCCAGTTACTATGAGGCCTGATATACTTAGCAAGTTTGTTGAATCGGATTTTGAAATGGTTATCGAGCAACATAAAATCATTGCAGCAAAAGCGGACGAAAGCCCAGAGCCTTGGGTACGGAGGATTAATGTTACCGCCGGGAGTGACTTTTTAAGACGATCCTTGGACAAGGCAACCCTTACCGCATGTTCAACTTCTTTATTAGGGCTTTTTCCTGGCCATCATGACTCGCCGCAGCCTCGAGAGAATACCAGCTTTCTCCTTCCTGGTAATGAAGATGCCGAGCAGGCCCAAAACAATACGAGTTTTCTCTTGGATGAGGGTAACGACGGTTATGTGGATCGCGATATCGCCATGATGTCCGGAGCTCTCCCTAGTCATCCGTCTACAGACGCATTCACAGACTCCTTCAACAATCGATCGGTTGCCCCAACTCCGCCTGTCACGCCACCTGAGATATTTTTGGGGTTTCCCAGACGCTCGTCGCAAATCCTGGGAAATTATGGTCGCCCCTCGCCCACTGCACAAGTACCATCACTGACCCTCCACATGCTCAGCCCTTCGAGTGATTTGGATACACGTCCATTCTTCAGACCATTGAATAATCCGTCAATGCACTCTCGTGCCAAACGTCATAAGCATCGCAGATCAACATTATTAAGACAGATAGCCTCCTTCCACAGTGGCTATACGATTCAGATGACTGAACGAAGTTTCGATGCTACCTCAATTTCCGACTCTGTAGATCGAGCCTCGGTTGGATCAACACATGCACCTGGCAATCGCGTCCTCCGGCGACGACCCGGGGGTGACCTCCGCGCCATTCAAAACATTGGCGAGCTGCCACTTAGTCATCGTTCATCAGGATCTCTTACCACTTATTCGGATTCCTTACGAAGCTCATACCTTTTGGGCGGCGGTTCTACAAGCTACGCTAACGTTACGAGCGATAATGGTAGGGCCCAAAGCAACTCCTGGACATTCTCCGTCGGAGCTCTGGCGGACCCTGAGGGCACATCAAAGCCCAGAGTTTCTCTGCTAAGCACCTCATCCAAGCCAGCCCTGCGGCCATCATTTCAAGCTGAAGCTGCGAAATTAGCCCAAATTCCTGATGATACCGACGATGATGGCGGAGTAGAAGCTGCCCTACTTAAACTTGAGGGAAAGTATGAGAAGAGGAAGTCCGATATCTCGTCCCAAAGCTTGTCTCCAGGATTTATTGCACCACAACGGCAAGAAACTTATGACAATGCCGATCAAACCACTGGGGAGTTAATTATCGAAGCAGAGAAACATCAGCACAGGCACAATCATGTTGTTGAGAATGCAATATTTGACAGCGGTGAAGAGTCTGAGGTCGATCAGCCCGAACAACGAAGCTGCTTTAATTCACAATATGAGCTCCAACCCACTGTTTATCGACCTCCTGTACGAGAGCTGCATGATATTTCTCGGGAGTCACAAAATTCAATACCTCTTTTGCAGCGCGACGGATCTCGATATGGTTCCGATGACGAAGAAAGCCGCAACTGGAAGAATACATCTGTACTCCTCGGTCCCAGCCACGATAGAGAGACGATTGGCCAGCGTGGCGCTGAAAAGTCCGAGACGCCAGTTGACTTCGTTGATAAGACGGAGAGTTCAAATCAGATACCTGCTGGAGACACCCTCCCACGTCAAATGAGTGTAAACGAATCGTTTCTTCGAATTGGCGATGATAACGATGTACACAATTACGATGATTACGATGATAATCACAGCGACCTGTCGTCTGAAATATCATTGGAAGAAGTCCCAACTAACGACTTCCTTGGGAATCCTTCCACCAACAAACACCCGTCTATTCACTCTGGCGCAATCATTACCGAAGTGGAAATTCCTCCGATTTCTAAACAGTCGAAAGAGCCCTCGATGACGATGGAGCAAGCATTATTGATGTCTCCCACTGGAGGTCAATACCAAGGCCTATTCCCTCCAAGTCCAGATATTACACCAACATATGGGGATGGCCGGAAAGATATCGCCATGGGATCATGGTACAGCGACGATCATTTGGAGACACAAGCTATATCTACCGGACCACTGTACAGCGAAGAGCACATGCCATTTATACTCCATTTTGACTCGAAGATTGTGGCTGAGCAATTTACCCTCATTGAGAAAGAAGCATTGGGCGAAATACATTTTAGAGAGCTCCTCGAGATGAAGTGGTCTCACGAAGCAGCATCAGCATGTCAGTCATGGCCGAGATTTCTCCAAATTCTCCAACAGATGGAGGAAGATGATACAGTCAGCCATGGCATTGAAATATGCGGAGCACGTAGCAGTATCATGACGCAGTGGGCCATCTCTCAAATTATCCTTACCCAGGATATCAACGAACGGGCCAGGACAATTGCAAAGCTCATTGAGATCGCTGAGCACTGTCGCCAACTGGGCAACTACGCTACGCTATTCCAGCTCACTGTCGCTGTCAGCAACCCAGTGATAGCGGAACTTCACGAGACTTGGAAACATGTACCTGCACCTGAGGTTCAATCCCTCCGTGAGTTCGAAGCGTTGATCCAGCCAGCAAATAACTTCCACCGCCTGCGTGATGAGATGGAGTCGGTCCTCGGCAAGCGCGCCTGCCTTCCGTTAGTTGTAATCTACGCGAAGGACTTAACTGTACTGAAGGATATGCCGAGCTATATTGCTAGCACTCCAACCGACCCGCCCCTCATCAACGTCAGCAAGTGCCGCGCCCAGGCAACGGTTGTACAGCTATTCAGCAGGTACCTAGAAAGCAGCACTGGGTACAAGTTTCAGACTGTGCCGGGGCTGACAGATAGGTGTCTGTGGATTGCGGGGTTGAGCCCAACGGAGATCAGAAGCCGTGCAGAGAGGTTGGTTTGAACGGTTGTGTGAGCGGACATTTTGGAATTGTTTGTGGATTGCATTTTAAGCCTACGTGTAAATGAAATTGTTTGGGTTTCTGGGATTCTGTTGACAACTTGGGGGAGGAAGGTGCATAGGGGTCGTTAATCAAAAGGACTAAGTACGGTGCATCATTGTCATAATATACCCTAGCGAATGCGTTTAATCAAGCTCATTATCTTTAACGTCCTCATTGTATGAAATGCACCTCAAAAGTCTACGTTCTACACTAAACCGTGATTGAAAGGCGGTAAATTTTAGCGTCTGGAGTCTATCCTGATAATTTTATCTACAGCACTTTCCATCTCCCAGTCCTTGGTCTCCCAACGTCCATGCGCTAGCTGAACCCATTTCATAAATACCATTTCTATTATTACCCCCCATCATTATTCCATCACCCCACTCGCCCTCATACTTGAGATGACCTCAGCAAACCTATTCACCCTCTCCAAACCCGTCGTCTGTCTCGCAGTCTCAATACCAAGCAGCACACGCTTGATCCCCACGCCGACTGAGCCAGAGCCGCAAGTATCGCGCAACACACTCAGACTCTGCTGCAGCTCGATTGGCGAGTCGAAGGCGACTGTCTCTTTGCAGATATTCTCAAGCTCCTCGATCGTGTTCACGTTCGGTACGGCCATCTCGCGATCGAAGCTCGCGGCGAGGTCGAGCTGGTGGAGGATGGAGCGCTGGGTTGTGGTGCCGATGATTAGAAGGCGGCGGCCCTGGTGATGTGTTAGCTGTGACTTCATAATTACTGGTTGAGAAAGGAGTTAGGCTTACCTTAGGTGGCTGCTTCGTCAGCAAGACCATGAGGGTCTGTAAGACGAGGTTGGAGAATCGTGGGCCGATAGGCACCCAGTCAACGATGCGCTCGATGTTATCGATGATGACGATGTTCTGGGGCGACTTGTAGGCGTCGGAGAAGACCTTGTTGAGGTACTGGATCTTGGCCATTTCGTTAAAGCCGATCATATTTTCGGGGGAAATGAGCTTGATGAAGGGGAACTCGGATTCCATGGCGATCTTCGCTGCCAGAGCGGTCTTGCCAGATCCCGATGGGCCGTGTAGGAGGACCGAAAGAAGTGGTTCCGAAGCGGAGTTGCGGACCTGGTTCACGAACAGCTCGCCGTCTTGGAGGATGTAGTCGATGTGTGGGCTGTAGCGTAGGATACCTCCGCGAACAGCTGTGCTGAGTTCTTCCTCGGAGACACCGAATGCTGGCTTAACTTCGTTCAGCGCGCTTAGGAAATCGTTGCGGTTGACTTTCATGTTTTCGATATCGTCGCTAACGCCAGCGACAGTGCCGACCTTGACGTGGCGGTTGAAAGCGAATGAGGAAGCCGACTTAACAAGTCCACTGATTTCCGCACCCGAGAAGTTCTTGGTAAGGGCCGCAAGCTCGGCTAGGTTGACATCGTTGTCCATAACATGATTATCGCGCATCTTCATCGTGTGGATGTTGAGAATATCTTGTCTGCCGGATTCATCGGGTAGAGAAATCTCCATGTGGACCTCCAGACGTCCAGGACGAAGCAAGGCGTCATCAATCATATCCATTCGATTGGTCATACCGATCAGGATAATATTATTGAGCTGGTCCACACCATCAAGTTTGGCAAGCAACTGGTTGACAACACTGTCGCCAACACCAGTGCCACCTCCACCACCAGCACCTCTCTGCTTGCATACAGCATCGAGTTCGTCGAAAATGATAATGTGAAGCTCACTCTCGTCACCCCTCTCCTTGTATTCTTTCTCGGCATCAGCAAAGAGGTTTCGGATATTCTCTTCTGATTGACCGACGAATTTATTCAAGACCTCAGGACCGTTAATGACCTTCGGCTCCCTAGAGTTGAACATCTTGCCAATTTGCCGAGCGATCAGGGTCTTTCCGGTTCCGGGAGGTCCAAACAGAAGAATACCCTTCACGTGCTGGATGCCCAACTTCTCGATCAGCCCCTGGGGGAAAATGCGCGACGCGAAAGCTCTCCTGAAAATGGCGCCGAACTCAGCGTCCAATCCACCAATTCCCATGTCCTCAAACTTGAAGTCTGGCGCAATGATGGAGTTGGCCGGTGGCTTCTTTGTCGATGCCTTTATCTTGATAGGCGAGCTCGCATCCTTGTAAAAAGTGATGTTGGTTTGTGTAGTCAGAATACCGCGTGCTTGAGGATTCGAAACCACCTGTCCCGAGGACGCCGTGGGCTTCTCCATGCCAAGGTTACCGAGCTGCACCGTCTTGACTTTAAGGCTCAGCACAATCCCCTTGTGGTCCATCACCAACTGCTGTCCGGGGGCAAAGACTTGGTTCCCAAATAGCTTGTTGAAGTAAGCTTCCAGCATATCTTGGTCGTATGGAATTTCCGTCGTCTTTCTCCCCGCAAACCCAATCTCAACGTCCATTGCAGCTAGGTAACTTTGTCCTCCTTGGTCACCAAACGGATCGTAGAGCTCAGCCAAAACAGTCTCTGTGAGACTGATCGCGCACCATGATCGTTGTGGCCCGGTTAATCCGATCAACCCAGGGGGGAAACCGGCTGTAGGCCTCGCGGTGACAACATGAGTGCGGTTGACGAGGATATATATATCGCCCCCATCCTGGCTAGGAGGGAAATCCTGAGGCGACACCGCCGTTCTAAACCCAGTTAGTCAGCACGAGAGCTTCGTCATTATCATACGGAGGTTCTTACATGTTGCCGTATACATATCTGTCTTGCGTAGTCTTATCCTCGACCTTCCCGAGCTGCAGCTGCTTCGAGATGCCAGCATTTCGTCCAACTGCAGTCCTCTGGGGCATTCCTCGGTTTTGTTGAGGGGAGTACCCTGGTCCTGGTGGTGGCGGTCCGCGCTGGCCGCCACCGCCGTAGTTTCCTCTTGGGTCCTCGTAGCCGCCCATCTGTGTGTCGTGAGGGCTGTTTCTCTGGATCTGGGGTCCACTTGGCTGTCGCTCTCTCCCAGCGTTCGGAGGCTTGCCAAAGAGGTTGTCTCGGTTGAACATTGTGGTTGTGTTATGCCGGAGTGCAACCACAGGGTAGCTGTCGGGTTCGAAACTCTGATAACACCGTATTAGCCGGTTTCCGTCGAAAGTAAAAGAAATCAATAGTTATATCCCAATAACTCACAAATGGGAGATAAAGGTTGTATTGGCTCAGCTAAGTCTGAAATGTGTCCTAACGATGGTGACGACCTGTCCTGATGCCTTGTGTCCTCTTACGTAGGTGCCGCCAAGTAGAGAAAGGCTGAATATAAAGACAACGGTGTCCTCCAAAAAAACAAATGAAGCTGATATATCCTCCTTCGTTCTAACTTATGGCATAAAATATGAAGCTCCCTTGGAAATGCTGTACTCCGTTCTTATTGCGATTGCTTGCTCTGTCCCAAGAGACGATTGGAGCTTCGGCATCAGCATTCAGTAACCTTGGGTCTGTGCACCTGGTGGGCGGGTTTTATGTCGGTGTCGCCGCTAGCCCCTCCAATGTATTGGCGGGATCATACTCTCAGCCTCGTCCCCACTTGAGCCTCGATGGCACGACGTTTGTACAACTCTCTAGCCACGAGCTGTCACTGCCTATCATGCCTTTGTAAGTAATATATCCCTGAGATCTGTGTATTATTTATCGACAGGCTTGGACTGGGGCTGATGTGTAAGTAGACATCTATTAGGCAAGAAATCGTGGAATGTCTATAATGCCGATAACATCGAGAAAGTCAAGCGCGACGAGGCTATCGCGCAGGCACAAGAAGAGGCGGAGGAGCAGCGCATGCAAGAGGCCGATGCCGCACGCCGAATAGCCATCCTACGCGGCGAAACTCCGCCTCCACTAGAGATCGATGAAGCGCACGATGAGACCGAGCGAGAGCCACGGCAGCGTGGCCCAGCCAGGGAGAAGAGGAAGAGGAAGCGGGCTGGGGAGAATGACACGGATTTCGAGATGAGGGTGGCGAAGGAGCAGAAGATATCAGCGAGCGAGGATACACAGATTGTTTTGAGGAAGCCAACTACTGAGGTGCCCCTACTGGATGAGTCGGGGCACATCGATCTCTTCCCCTCGGAGCGCCCAAAAGCAACCAAGGACGACACGAAGAAGGTCCAGGCGGAGAAGGAGCTAGCGAAGAGGAAGAAAGAGTATGCAGATAACTACACTGTCAAATTCTCTGATGCGGCTGGGTTCAAGAAGGGGTTAGAAAGCCCGTGGTATTCCTCTGGCAAGGCGGGCCTTGCTGTCGATGAGCCACTCGAGGTGCCTAGCAAGGATGTTTGGGGTAATGAGGATCCGAGGAGGAAAGAGAGGGAGGCCACACGAATTGTCTCTAATGATCCGTTGGCTGCTATGAGGCAGGGCGCGGCGAAGGTTAGGCAGGTGGCGAAGGAGAGGAAACAGTGGCAGGAGGAGCGGGAGAAGGAGATGCTGGAGATGGAGAAGGTTAGCTCAAGGAGGAGGGCTCGCGACGACCCGGATGATGAACCTGAGGGGTTTTCTCTTGATAAATCCGAGGATAGGTCGAAAAGCAGACATGGCGACGATCGGAAGTCTAGTCATGGGGAGTCGAGGCGAAGGTCACATCGGGACAGGAGCCGAGATCGAGAGAGGAGTCGAGAAAGGCGGAGGCATAGACACAGACACAGGAGTAGTGATAGGGATAGAGACAGGGTTGATCGCCACCGCCACTAATAAATAATCGAATGATGAAATAATCGAATGATGAATACATATACGATACCCCACTACACCAGCGTTGTTGAGTAAATAAATGGCTATACGCGCGCACGGGTGTGGATTCACATTTTTAGTGTTGCGGTATAGTCCAGACTTGCGGACCTCACAGCGTCCAGCCACGGCCGGTTGCACCACGTGAATAGCAACCCTCAACGATACGCAACACAAGATGCAGGTATTAGAACATATAAGACATCTCGTTACGTTTGAAGAACATATAAAATTTCAAAGGGTATAAAAAATCCGCTATAAAAAAAGGTGCGACTCCAGTTTCGAGTCCTGGACTCCGCTTCATGTACCCATTAAACGCTCGAAACGCCCCTTTTAACCTTGCTCCCACAAACATCTCCCAACAATACTCCCACAGAATTAATATAATCCTCATTCTCTCCCCTCTCCCCCCTCACCATCCACTACGCCCCCAAATTCTTCCTCAAACTCTCAAAATACGCCCCCGCCCAAACCCCCATCACCTCTCCCTCCCCCACCTCCCTCCCCTTACACTTCCCAACAACACTACACAATATCCTCCCCAACAGCTCCTCCGTCATCGGCAGCGCCCCCTCCGGCAGCTCCCTCGGATTCAAAAACTCATCCCCCTCGCTCAGCAGCTCCGCAGCCGTAGGTCGTTTATGCTGATCCCTCTCCAAACACCTCTTCAAGAGACGAATCAGTGACCGCGGGAGCGGCACGCCGCCGAGGCCGCGCGCGGGGAACTCAATCGCGTAGCCCCAGTCAATGATAGCACGGCATCGGCTCAGCTGGTTGGAGATATGCGCGAATGGCTGGCGGCCATACGCCATCTGGTAGAGTATACACCCCAGACTCCAGATATCGCTCGGCTTGCCCAGTTTCATGACTCTCGGCCCGCTGCTATGCCCCCGCATAGCTCCCGGGGCCTTATTCTCAGGCAGCTCGCTAGAATCCATCAAGCTCTCCGGACTCATGTAATTCGGCGTGCCGACCTGTGTGTCTCGGTGCACGTTTACGGTCTCGTCGGTCTGGATTGCATTCGCGATGCCGAAGTCGATGAGTTTTAGGAGGCCCTTGACGAGCACGAAGTTGGCCGGCTTGAGGTCCGAGTGCACGATTTCGTGGGAGTGGACGGCGGCGATGCAGACGAGCATCTCGCGCCAGTAGTAGCGCGTGAAGGAGGGGTCGAAGACGGCGTTCTCGGTGTTGTAGCGCAGGCTGAGGATGCGGTTGAAGTCGAGCTCGCCCATCTCCATGAGCTGTGAAATGTGGGTTAGAAAAAATGTGCTTGTAAGGGGAGAGTAAGGGGGGACTTACCACACTCAGCATCTGCTTCTCGTCGTTCATCTCGTAGTCCAATATCGTTACTACACGATCATTTCCTTCCAGCTTCTTCAATAGATCGATCTCGCCCTTGTAGCCTCTCACGGCATTCTCATCCGCATCCTCCAGACTGACGCGTTTTAAAGCATAGATCTTCCCATTCTCCGCCATCACCCTCCACACCTTACTACTTCCGCCCCGACCTAAAATCTCCAAGCGCGTATAACTCTTGCCATTAACTCTGATATTATTCCTCTTCTTAGATGAATGCGAGGTGGTCGCCGCGCCCGCCGTAGCAGTTGCCGTCTCCAAGAGCGACATCTTCGGCGGCGGCGGCGCAGGGCGGCGAGGGGTATTCTGGGATCTTGCTGCTAGTGGCTGGCGTACTGGAGAGACGGTTCCACGCATGGCACTCAAATCCGTGCTTTGTGGGCGCAGCGGGACTTTGTCGATTTTATCAAGAAGCACTGATGGCGGCGCCTTATTGCGCTTAAAGGTAGGAGGTGCCTCATTTTCCTGGTCATGGCTCGATGGCATCTCCGGCCTAGGCGCAGGAAGCTTAAAGACAGGTTGTGCGGGCTGTGCGGGTGGTGCATTATCTGATGGGGGTGGCCTGGCTTGCTCAACAACCGGATCCGCTAAGCGATTGTATGCAGCCATCGGCGGCGAGGGACGGGCTTGTTTCAATGCTTCCCTGCCACTCATAGGGCTACCAGACGCAAAGTCTCTATATTGCGAAGCCGAATAAAACGATGATTTCGGTGCCTCTGACTCCTGACTCAATGCCGCCTCTCCGCTCCCAACATCATGGTTTTCCGCAGCCTGATTCTCCGGCTCCTGGCTCTGGCGTTCCTGGCTCGAGAATGCGGATTCAGCACCCTCAGCATCCTGACCAGGACCCTGCTCCTCCTCACTCTGCCTCCTCTTCCCCCTTCGCGCTGGACCGCTCAAGAAACTCCCAGCTTTTCCGAGACGCTTCACTCTCATCGAACTTTGCATTCCCATCTCCTCCCCATATCTCGTTCTGTTGGCAGCTGAATTCCCATATCTCGTCACACTCCCTAGGTTAGTAGCATTATACGGCCTCGCAACCGTAGCCGGGTCCTCCATCTCCTCCGGTTTCAAAGCCGCTGTTCTAGCTCCCGATCCAGATCCAATACGATTTGACGCTTGTCCACTAGATCCAAACGACGACCCATGGTTCGAAGAAGCCGTGATTGGTATCCGTACAGTCCTTGGATATGGCGCCGGTGTACTCAGATCCAGCGGGCTCCCCGGTCTCGACGGCACCTGCTCACTCGGCGCTCTCACAGAGTTCGACAAGCTTGTCGTCCGGCGAAGGGATGCTGAGCCGGGGGTGCCACTTAACCGGACTACTCGCCGGGGATATGGGCTGTGGGTGCGAGATACCATCGCCGGGGATGCGGTGCGCTCCCGGGCCATCTGATCGGCTGCTGGGGGCTCGGCGGTATATGTATGTCTCTGCGCAACCGCCGTTGAGCCAGATAGATTGTTTTCGTTCGTTGCAACAACTGGTGAACCAGAGCCAAGCATCGAAGCTTCATCATTCAACAAGGCATTCGTGAGGGCGCTGAACTTCATCGGCACAGGCAAGTCGTCATCCGAACTATCATGGTCTGAATACCGGCGCGTCTTAGAAGTCGTTGGTAGTTCTGCTGCCGGATTCCCATTCGCCGTAACAGCAGCAGCCTCTCTCCGCACAAAAGTCGGTCTCGCAAGAGGAACTTGTCGCAAGGCCTGTCTCGACGAAGGTCGGCGCATCGGCTGATTGCCGAAGTGGCTTGAGCCCAGGGGTGTTGGGGACGCGGTTGCCATGTCGGGCGGGCTTTCGCGTCGTCGTTGGGGCGGGTATAGAGCTATATGGTAGATTCAATGCTGGGTTACGGCGTGTGAGCTCTCCTCTTCATGGCCGAAAGGGTTTGTCGCTATTTGGGTTAATGGAATTATAGGTTTGGGAGGGAGGACAAAATTATCGCGTGGAATTCGAGGTCCGCGACGGGGTGGTCGGGGGAGGTGATTGGCCAAGTTGATACAGGGACTATTCTCCACTGTAAATACGATGACCGGGCAACGGACTCGTATCACGTGATATATAGATATAGAGTGGGGAGATACTACAACAGCGCGTTTCCAAACTTCATGATTGCTTTCGCTCATATTTTGGTGAAGCCACAGTCTTCATGAAAATGTTGATTCCTGTGGATAAATGCCATGTTTTCAGTCCCCCAGACGCCGTCATCCAGTCTCGTAATGCACCCGCTCAAACTCCCAGTAACTCTAATGCTACCGTCCTTCCATCATAAAGCCTCCGCGCTCCTCATACCACCAGACTCTTCACAACAAACTCCTGCACCACAGTTAGCTCATCAGTATTTCCACGGGAGCAAATCTCGCATACCGGATGCTTCGCCTGCAACTGTCCCATAATCCCCTCCACCCCCTCCGCCAACCCCTCCACATTAAAATCCCACTGCCTCAGCACCCCCCCTCCCCCCTCCCGCGCCCCCTCAAACCAAATAACCTCCTCAATCTGATCAATCCTCCCCCCCAATCTCCCCTGCTCAATCATCTTCGCCGTCATCTCCTCCGCCTTCTCCCCCCCAATCCCCAGCAGCTCTCCCAGCGGCCCAAACCCAATATTCGCATACAGCCTACTGGCCGCCAAAAGATTATGCTCAAACATCGCCCTATCCAGCACCGTCAACCCATCACTCATCCGCGCAAGTTGGTGCTCCTGCAGCCCCTCCGCGAACTTCGCGATCTCGCCCGGCGCAATCACACGCTGCAGGTGCATGTTCTCCAAGATCGCAAACTCCTCCAACTGCGGCGCGCGCTCGTCGCTGTAGAGACGATTTAGGGCGCGCGAGCGGGCGGGGCCGGCGGGGGCGAGGACGGCGCATTTTAGTGCCATGGAGAGGGTGTGGAGTTGCTCGTCTTCGCCGATGGAGGGGTCGTGGCTGATGTCTTCGTAGCCTTTTGCTGCGGCGAGGAAGTCGCGGCGGGAGTCTTGGATGCGGGCTTGGGAGACTTGGAAGTGGATGAGCGAGGTTGGGTTGGTGACTTCGTGCATGATGTTTTTGAATTTGTTGAGGTAGGTTTCGGCGGAGGTGGGGTCGTCGCATTCGAGGTGCAGACGCACGATGCGGATTAGCGTCGCTGCTTTGTCTTCCGAGCTGATCTTGCGCTGCGAGGAGTTGAGCGGGATAGCGGCGAGCATCTGGGCAGCGGAGTGGAAGTCATCGAGTGCTTCGTAGGTGTTTGCGAGGATCATGCGGAGCTCCGCGATCTGCTCTTCTTGGGAGGCTTGGTACTGTTCGATTTTGCCGAGCAGGGTGGTGCATATTTCGATTCGGTCGTTGAGGGCGAAGTCGGGGGTTTGCACGAGGAGGATGAGGCGCTGGCTGAGCTCGCGGATGGCTATGCTGCCGATGTTGGAGGTGAAGAGTTTGGTGATGATGGTGTCGACGGCTGAGGGGTCTGTTGGGCGGACATGTTTGGCGGAGTCTTCTTGCTGGTGGAGGAGCGTGTTGACCTCTTTTTCGACTTGGGAGGAGCTGGCGGATGCCATGGTCACAATACTGTCTGGATCAGGTTATTTCGAGGCCCAGAGCGTTGTGGTTGTGAAGATAGCTTCCGGGATCCGTTGCGTGTAAGGCGTGAGGCTACCATGGATGGGGCTTGACAAGTGAGCACCCACATCAGCCCCCCATTCGGCAGTTGTCAGCCTTGCCTCCCTGAGCTGAGCTTTTGAAAAGGATCGCCACAAACTACACATGGAAATGAGCTTCTCGCATGGCTGTAAATATCATATTAGAGAGCAACTAGGTATCCTCAATTACTAATAAAACTGCCGAACCTCTCATAGGCATACACATGTCACATTTATAACTCTTCAGTCGTCTGCTTCAAAAATGCTGCCCACGGGGCGCGTTGGATTATAGCTAATTACTAAATAATATGATCTCTCGCTCTCCTAATCCAGAGAGCTCAATGTTAGTTGAGGATTGTCCAACCATTTCGCCAGTCCCCCCCTTCTATGTATAAACACCCGCTAAATCAAACCCAACCCAATTCCCTGTCGTGGCCAAAAAACCTGACCGAGAACCACAAATTCTCGCCGAAAAGCTAATGCTCAGCCACGAGTCAAATAGGTCCTCCTCGGATCCGGGCTCCGCCGGGTCGTCTTCTCCATATCCCTAATAACCTTCACAACCTGCTCTCTCGTTCCCTTAATCGCCCAAGGCTTCGAGCGCGCCATGCCCGAGTGCTCGAAGTCGACGTACTTGAGGCTCGGGTGCGCGCCATCGACCAGCTCCTGGATCATCAGCGTGCTCAGGAAGACGCCGTTGTTGGCGATGACGGTCTCGAGGTGCTTCAGCTTGCGCAGCTGGTCGATGATGTAGATGTTGTAGATGGGACGGAGCTCTTGGGAGTTCCAGGACCAGGATTTGGGGAGGTCGGAGACGTAGATGGTGTCTGTCCAGGCGGAGGGGGGGGAGTTGTCGTCGACGATGAGGAAGTCCTCGGCGAGTTGGATGCGGGAGATGTTGATGGTGCTGTAGATGTTAGTCTCTTGCTCGAGTTTGTTCTCTGGATGGTGTCGACTTACTTGAGGTACTGGCATGATTGAATGGCGTGGCATAATCCACCGAGTGGGATATCACGAGAGAGTGCCCAGGCCTCGAGGAAGGGGTTCGGCTGTGGATGTTTCCTGTGTGTCATCCGCCTCCTCGTCGGCCTACTCTCCGGCACATGCAGCCTCGATCTTCCCTGATAAAGATCATGGTTCCTAAACTTCCACTCCCTCCACCCCGCCTCCGGCTGTCTCTCAAACTGCGCAACCTGCGCAAACCCGCTGGCATCCAGCACCCTCACCCTATCACCATAGTGTTTCTGGTGGCTGACCGTATACGCGAACTGCGCAAAGCGGTAGGTCGATGCGAACAGAGGGGTGTGGTACATCAAGTTCGCCGCAGCCTCCGTCAAAGCCGAGTGCACCAGCATGACATCGCGCAGCTCCTTCTGCTCAAAGTCCTTGAATATAACACCCAAGACCTCGGTCGGGAGGCTAAGCAGCGTCGGCTTCGGTCCCTGCATCCTCCTCCGCGAGCGGACGGACGACGCAACTGACCTCACCGACGTCGAAGACGGCCTGCGCTTCTGCCTAACAACCACGTTGACGCCCTCTACCCGAGCACGCCGAGCTGACATGTTCATCTCCGGCGTTATGAGGGATCTGATGTTCTGTCTCTTTCCCAGCGCTCCTCCATCTCCGCCTAAGCCGCCCATGGGCGGACCGACGAGGCCGCGCGGTCGTGCGGGCCCGTTGCCGTCGACCTGTGCGAGAACGGAGGCATGGGCGCGGAACTTGAGGTTTATGGACGAGGCTCCGTAGGGCGACGAGGCTGAGAAGACATGGCGCGGCCCGAAGGCGAGAGCGTTGGAACGCTGCGATACCTGGAACGAGTCGTAATCTCTTCGGCCCCTGGCAATCAAAAATGTCAATATTCGAATCCTGTTTTGAATATTTGTGGAGGAAGGGGGGTGAAGTGTTGGGGAGGGGGGACGAACATTTGAGGATTGAGAATGAGGGATCGACGCGAGTTGGTGGTGATATGATGATGCTAGTCTTTCCCGTTGTGGAATCGTCAGGGCAATCGGGATTGGGACTATGTATGGTAAGAACGACCCAAGGTCACGAGCACACACAGGACAGTTCAAAGGCTGGATGTCAAGAGTTTGTAACAACAGTTTTCACTATTTGGGACAGACTCCTTTTAAGTAGCGATGAGAGATGTGAAGTGAAGTGAAGTGATGTGAAGTGATGTGAAGTGAAGTGAAGTGATGTGAAGTGAAGTGATGTGATGTGATGTGATGTGATGTGCGGTGAAGTGATGTGCTGTGATGTGATGTGATGTGATATAGGTCTACTTTCTATGTTCTAGCAGTGAAGCTGCGAGGGGAGAAAGGATGGTGCAGACGGGGTTATTATAGGAGCAGAGAAGCAGAGAGACAAAAAGGTGGTGTATGCCGTATGGTACATACGGGGGTATGTATTCATACGTACACCATACAGGAGTGTAGAGTTATTGCGAGTATATGAATACATAGTACCATATATATGTGATGCACCCATACACGCACCATCACGAGTGCCCAGACTCGTTAAATGATGCTATGGATGTTGTATGGATTCTCTATGGTGGAAATCTCACCGCAACTCCACCCACTGGATTGCTTTTGGAAGGGGCTGTGCTACACGCCTCCTCGTAATAACGCGCCAAGCAGCGAGTGAGTCAACCGCCGATAAATGGCGGATACACCGTTACAAAGAGGAGAAGGGGGAAGTAGTGTTGGCTGTACGTTGCCTTGTGGCGGATACACGTTACAAAGAGGAGAAGGGGGAAGTAGTGTTGGCTGGTACGTTGCCTTGTCGCGTGACACAATAATGAACACACAACATCGCATAATAAATGTGTGTGGGATCCAGGCCCTGGTACAGATATGATGAACTGATAGTTCATCATATCAGTCCATCATATCAGTCCATCATATCAGTCCATCATATCAGTCCATCATATCAGTCCATCATATCAGTCCATCATATGATGAAAAGTGACGGTATGTCAATATCTCATCGAACAGCAGGGTTACTGCATGCCACCTTACTATCCCATCTTACTATCCCATCTTACTATCCCATCTTACTATCCCATCTTACTATCCCATCTTACTATCCCATCTTACTATCCCATCTTACTATCCCATCTTACTATCCCATCTTACTGCCCCATCCTACTGCATCCCATACTGCATCCCATACTGCCCCATCCTACTGCATCCCATACTGCATCCCATACTGCATCCCATCCTGCATCCCATACTGCATCCCATCCCATCTCTTACTTCCCATCTCTTACTCCATCCCATCTCACCTCCTTTCCTCCTTTCCTCACCCATCGTCCCCGCAATGTCTCAACCCCCTTCTTCATCTGGTCTTTACTCCTCCATAGTACCCACCACCCATTTCCCTGGGAGACTCAGGGGACGCAAAGCACCCACACGCTGACAAGATGCCCTACGCTTGCAAGGTCCTTCGGCTGTCGCCTCCGCTGTGGCGCTCTCTACTGCGGACTATAACATTAACAATTTCCGAACAAACTCGTGGGACCTTTGAAAAAAACTAGGATTATTTTTCCAGACCTTGCCAAGTACACGGGTGAGCTGACCCTCAGGCGTTGGCTCAGCTGATCTGGGAAATGCTCCACTTTTATGACTAAACCCTGCCACGTTGGCCAGCTAAGCTCGCGTAGCAACACATGATATGGTCAGGTAGGGCGACAAACGGAAAACGGTTTTATAGCCCCCCCCACTCACAAAACTTATGAACATAACCCCCGTATATACTTAAGCTAATGCATTACTAATGCATTAAGATCGAAACAACCACAGTTATTTCAAGCGATGTTTTAGTAACAAAGCAACCCGGGTAATGAAGGTAAACTATACAACAGATTTACCAGAATACCCCGAAACATCTGAAAATGGGGTCGCCTATATCATCAATACTTCGTTAATGACACCAGAAACAGTGTATGCTATGTGTAATAATGTGTGTTCATTGTTAATGTGTTATTAATGCATTATTAATGCATTATAGGTCTAATATTGCCATAAACAACTTCAGCCACTAAAGCCAACCCATTGTAGCACCCTTAACAATGCTTATTGTAAAAGGATGACTTATATTTGCATAGGTATAAAACATTGTGAATATCTTCATCTACAGTTACAGGAAATGCACCATATAAGGCTATATGACGACAATTGGAAAAAGATTATTCAGCTCTAGCAAGAAAATATCACTAAGTCTATTCAAAAACAAGCAAATAGCTATGAATACATTGTTAATGTATTAGTAAAGTATTAACAACATTTAGTTTCATTCTTTCTATCCTCCACCTGTTTATAAGCAGGATAGCATGTTAGAACCAAGAAGGTTCATGTAGCCTTTAACTTGTCACCTTAGAAAATGTAAGTAAAGCCCTAAATTTTATACGAATACATTGTTAATATATTAGATGATTTTAAACATGCACTAATATTCTATTTAGTGTCAGCACTCTATACTAGCAAACTATCACTTCTTCTAACCTATTCCTATGCTATTACTATGTGAAAAGACTTGGGAATATCTAAGGTGAATATGTAGAAATGAGAGATGAAAACCTCTAAGTCCTTCTATTAATTAGGCGACTACCTAGCAACCCTATACAGTATCTATTTAAGGCTTCTGGCCTAAAGACCTCCATCCTTCCTTATGTAAGGGTGTAATAGGATAGCATGCTAAGGCCTAGGTAATACCAACAATATAGTATGGCGGTAATTAGTATGGTGGAGGATGTAATGGTGGGTGCACCAGATGTGAGAATCTAGCTGTCATACTGACATTCGTTGCACTCAGTTTGCTATCAAACTCAAGAGCAAACTTAGAAATCTCCTCCTCAAACCTACAAGTCACCATACATATCTTGGCTTATTGTAATGGTGGGTGCACCAGATGTGAGAATCTAGCCACCCAAGGAAGGGATGAATTTACTAAGACAACACACTGTCTTAGAAAACAGAGCCAAAGGGTCATAGCTTAGACTATTCCACAACGCAGCAATCAGGTGTGTGATGTAGTGAAGTGGTTCAGACAAGTTGCAACAAATGTTGAGTCTGGGAACTCAGGGGTAAGTCAGAGGTTAACACCTCACTGACTTTTCAGAAACAAGGAGTAACAAGATGAATGCTTGGAAGCTTGGAAAAGACGTGGAAGTATGTGATAGTCGATTTACTGTATTGTCTGCTTGCCCTTTCTTAAGGAAAGGGCAATCCTATTTATGCTAAAGGAGTGTAGTTCTCTCATTTTCCAAGACTTTCCATGATTACCAGGCTTGGTAACTGTAGTCGACGTAAGAGAATCCCATAGAACCATCTCTTAGGTTCGTAGCCTATAGGAAGTAAAAGGAGGTCCAAGGTCAGAGTACCCCTATAGACAAATTATGTCATAGACAAATTATGTCATAGACAAATTATGTCATAACTTAACCAATCTTGTGGGTAACTAAAGAGCGATGACATGTAATGAATCATAGAGGTTCGTAGGAGCTTTTAGAGCTATCGTTCATGCTCCTAGGCCTTTAGTTGGTAGAGATATGTCATGTGGTAGTATGAGTGATGTCATGTAATGAATCATAGAGGGTTGTAGAGATATGCTATGTGGTCATATCGGCCCAGTAACTAAGGAGCGATGACGTGTAATGAATCATAGATGGTTGTAGCAATCGTTGAGTAGTATTGCTCTTGTTGTTGGTGTGATAAGCCAAAATATGTATAGTGACTTGTAGGTTTGAGGAGGAGATTTCCAAGTTTGCTCTTGAGTTTGATAGCAAACTGAGTGCAACGAATGTCAGTATGACACTTATCACACCAACAACAGAAGCAATACTACTCAACGATTGCTGCAAACTCTTCTACTACATCTGTTTATGCTACATACATCACGGCATATCATTTGAACACTCATTAAACAAGTTATTAAGAAAATCTCCTCCTTAAGGGGGTGGGCCAATACTACCACATGGCATATATCTACCAACTAGAGGCCTAGGAACATGAACGATAGCTCTAGAAGCTTCTACAACCCTCTATGATTCATTACACGTCATCGCTCCTTAGTTACCCACAAGATTGGTTAAGTTATGACATAATTTATCTATAGGTACTCTGACCTTGGACCTCCTTTTCACTTCCTATAGGCTAGGAACCCAAGAGATGGTTCTATGGGATTCTCTTACGTTCACTACATGATTAGCAAGCTAGTTGTGGGTCGCACTTGATTTCTAATACATTTACCAAGCCTGGTTAGTCATGGAAAGTCATGGAAAATGAGAGAACTACACTCCTTTGGCATAAATAGGATTGCCCTTTCCTTAAGAAAGGGCAAGCAGACAATACAGTAAATCGACTAGCACATACTTCTACGTCTTTTCCAAGCTTCCAAGCATTGATCTTGTTATTCTCTGTTTTTGAAAAGTCAGTGAGGTGCTAACCTCTGACTTACCCCTGAGTTCTCAGACTCAACATTTGTTGCAACTTGTCTAAACCACTTCACCACATCATACACCTGATTGCTGCGTTGTGGAATAGTCTAAGCTACAACCCTTTGGCTCTGTTTCCTAAGACAGTGTGTTGTCTTAGTAAAATCATCCCTACACTTGGGTGGCTAGTGTAATGGTGGGTGCACCAGATATGAGAATCTAGCCACCCAAGGAAGGGATGAATTTACTAAGACAACACACTGTCTTAGAAAACAGAGCCAAAGGGTCATAGCTTAGACTATTCCACAACGCAGCAATCAGGTGTGTGATGTAGTGAAGTGGTTCAGACAAGTTGCAACAAATGTTGAGTCTGGGAACTCAGGGGTAAGTCAGAGGTTAACACCTCACTGACTTTTCAGAAACAAGGAGTAACAAGATGAATGCTTGGAAGCTTGGAAAAGACGTGGAAGTATGTGATAGTCGATTTACTGTATTGTCTGCTTGCCCTTTCTTAAGGAAAGGGCAATCCTATTTATGCTAAAGGAGTGTAGTTCTCTCATTTTCCAAGACTTTCCATGATTACCAGGCTTGGTAACTGTAGTCGACGTAAGAGAATCCCATAGAACCATCTCTTAGGTTCGTAGCCTATAGGAAGTAAAAGGAGGTCCAAGGTCAGAGTACCCCTATAGACAAATTATGTCATAGACAAATTATGTCATAGACAAATTATGTCATAACTTAACCAATCTTGTGGGTAACTAAAGAGCGATGACATGTAATGAATCATAGAGGTTCGTAGGAGCTTTTAGAGCTATCGTTCATGCTCCTAGGCCTCTAGTTGGTAGAGATATGTCATGTGGTAGTATGAGTGATGTCATGTAATGAATCATAGAGGGTTGTAGAGATATGTGTAATGGTGGGTGCACCAGATGTGAGAAACTAGCCACCCAAGGAAGGGATGAATTTACTAAGACAACACACTGTCTTAGAAAACAGAACCAAAGGGTCGTAGCTTAGACTATTCCACAACACAGCAATCAGGTGTGTGATGTAGTGAAGTGGTTCAGACAAGTTGCAACAAATGTTGAGTCTGGGAACTCAGGGGTAAGTCAGAGGTTAACACCTCGCTGACTTTTCAGAAACAAGGAGTAACCCCACCCGCCAAACGCAGCTCTCGGCCAAACGTTATTCCGCAACCGCAACTGCCCTGCGATAAACTCACTCCGAGCCCCAATCTACAATCCACCCAAGCTTCACTCTGCGCCTTACCACTCACCAGCAACACCCTCGTTTCTACGCCATGAAAACGACAATACCACTTCAACCGTGAGCAACGCCCAAACCGGACCGTCCATCCGCACTCACCCACCCACCCACCCACCCACACACACACACACACACACCATGTCATCCCACGCAATCCACCACGCGCTCCTGCGCCCCTGCGTCCTCCACATCCTGCGCGCGGCAGGCTACCACTCGACCAAGCCCTCCGTCCTCGACGCGCTCACCGACATTGCAGGTCGATACATGCTCCTCCTGGCCACCTCGACCGCGAACCACGCCGCCGCCGACCCGACGGAGCTGGGGATCTCGATCGCGGATGTAAGGCTGGCGATGCAGGATTGCGCGGCGTTTGTGCCGGAGAAGGTGTGGGAGGATCAGGTGTTTGATGGGGAGGAGGATGTCAGGGGCGTGGAGGTGTTTGTGGAGTGGGCGAGGGGGGAGGCGAATAGGGAGATTAGGAGGGTGGCGTTGGAGGGGGGGGATGAGGGGAGGGATGATTATTTGACGAGTAAGTTTTCTGGAGATGCTGATGAGGGAGTGGGTGGGAGACTGACGGGCTGCAGCGCTGAAGAAGAAACATGATAAGGGTGATGAGGAGAGTAGGTATACCGGCACGATTATCGGGCACGAGGCGGAACCGAGGGTGATTCCGGTGGAGGGAGGCGATATCACGAGTTTGAAGGAGTGGGCGGATATACTGCATAAGAATGCGACGAGACAGGTTGTCAGCTCTGAAGACACATCGCGGAGACAGTCGTCGGAACTCAGCTCGGTGGGCGATGGCGATCAGGATATGGAAGGGATGGTTTTTTCTTAGGGTCATTCGGGACGGAAACACAAACACAACACACGGAACTTGCATAGCGGAAGGCGTCACGGCGAACCCGGATTTGAAAAAACACACAAGCACCAACAAATTCATCAACACGAAAAACCTCTCCATTTCCTGCTCTCTATCCACCCGTGACGACACCCCTACACCGCGCCCGTATCCTCATCCGCCTCCCTCACCCTCCCCCCCCATCTACATCCCCCCCCTCCTCCTCTCCTCCTCGCACCTCCCCCTCTCCCCCTCCTGCTCCCTCTTCTTCCTCTCCAGCCCCTCCGTCAACGAATCCTCCTCTCCCCATCCACCGCCCTTCTTCTGCAGCTGCGCATCCATCACCCTCCCTTCCCCCGGATCCGCCATCTGCTCCCCCTCGAGCTCGGCCTGCGGTGGTCCGACGCGGCGGGTGGGCAGGATGGGATGGGCGTTGGGGGGGTGGTCGGAAGGGTGGGGGCCGTGGCCCGAGGCGGTGGTGGAACCCATGGTGTTGGCGCTGGTGCCGGGTTGGTTGGCGTTGGTGGTGGGGGTGAGGATGGTGGAAGTGCCGTGGATGGCGTTGAGGTAGGTGGTTTGTTGGGAGGCTGTCATGGTGAGTGCCGAATTGGAGGGTTGGTTATGGTGGTGGTGCGGGAGTGGTGCTGGAGGAGTGTTTGAGAGGACGGCAATATCCAAGGAGTTGATTTGGGATGGATTGGGATGCATTGAAGTGGTTGGTTGGGGAAATGATATTGGTCGACCTGTGACGTAGTTTTGAGGGTCACAGGGGACAGGCTATGTTGACGTAGGTTTACTAGGTGAGGCTGCCGATAATATCAAATTGCCATAACTACAAACTTCATGCTTTATATTCTGTATCTTGTGTCTTTCCCGTCCTAAAACCACGGGTATACATGTCGTGTAATAAATACGTGTGACCGATGAGAAATTTCAATTGCGGCTACTACAAGCTCCCAACGCCAAGGGTATGACGGGAGGGGCCAAGCTACGACATTCAAGACGACAAACCTCGTCCTCCTGCCTCCTCCCAGAACCTCCAGGACACAATATCTCTCGGTTTCCTACAAATTCCCTTCCCTACACACAATACGAAGCCTCCTACACCACGGATCTCACACCCCATCACACGGCCACAGCTTCCCAAGCTCCAACGTCACATCCACAAACCCTCAACTACCCCGCCATGCGGTGATAACCCACCTCACCACCTCACCACCTCAACACCTCACACCACCACCACACACCACAACACCCACCCCCCCCCTCCAAAAATGCCCTACCCCTTCACCCTCCCCACCACCTCCCCCCTCCGCCTCCCGTCCCACTTCGACTCCCCCACCCACCCCTCCCTCCCCGTCCACACCTCCACCCTCCGCTCCCCCCTCCGCTCCTCCCTAAAAACATACAAGCGCCTCCCCCCCCCCAACGCGCCTCGCATCTCCCTGCACTCCTTGGGACGATCGAAGCTTATTACCCTGCCCTCCTTGCGCTTGATGCGGGGTTGACGCCGCAGCGGGGGTTGGATGTGGTGTTGACTTCCTCCCCAAGGTTCTCGTGGCGGGCGACGCTTACTTCGACCTTACCAGGGACGAAGAGGTTGGAGCTGAGTTCTTTGGAGTATGAAGTCTTCTTCACGCTAGCGACATTATCGTATTTGCATACGCTGCTTGCGAGAACAGCGCTGCACCCCCTCTACACCACCACCTCCCCCTCCCCCTCCCCCGAGGTGCGAACAACACTCATCACAAAAGCAACGAAACACCTCCTCCAATCCGCACAAATCCACCTCTACCTGACCCACCGCGCCGACACCCTCCGGACCACCTCTCCCGTCACACCCCCCGCCTTGGACATCTCGCCCCCCACCCTGCGCGCCCTATCCGAACTCGCGCATGCGGAGGCGACGCTGCTGGCGGTGTTGAAGGATGACCCCTACCCCGCGGCCCTCGCGCAAGAGCGGAACGAAAACGACAAAGAATGGATGATCCGCGCTCCTTCTATTCCGAAGGTGAGGGCACATTTGTTTGCGAGGTTGTGTCTAGCGGGCGCGGCGCACGCGGAGACGGCGTTGAGTTTACTCGCTGGGAACGAGGCGACGGAGGGGAAATTGCTGGGAAAGGTTGGGGCTGGGAAGGTAGATGAGGGGCTGGTGAGGTATGTGGATGATTTGAGACGCGTGGGGAGGGCAAGGGCGTGTCGGTTTTTGGGGATTGATCGGGATTCGGATGGGAAGACCGGGGAGGCGATCGCGTGGCTCCGCGCGGGGATGGGGGAGCTGGGGCTCTCTTCTTCCTCTGATGATGGTGACGGTAATGGGAAGAAGCGCAGCGGCTTGGGACTCAGCAGGCTTAAGTCCAGTTTCTCAGAGAAGCGGGAAGGCAAACGCGTCGAGAAATCCGGTGACTGGGGTGCAGACGCGGGGAAGGCAGAAGAGGCCCGCGTGCTGGCTGCGCTGGAGACGAAGTGGGTGAGAGAGAATGATACGGTGAATTCGCAACTCATCCCCGATGCGGGGGGGTTGCTGAGGGAGATGCCGAGCGGGAGGGAGATCTATACGGTTAAGGCGTGGGAGCCTGTTGTGTTGGGGGGGGGGAGTTGAGGAGGTTGAGGGGACCCCCTGGGGAGGGAGGGGGGAGGGAGATGGAAGGGGGAGTAGTGATTCGGAAGATGAAGGGGGGGAGGCGGATAAGGCTGTTGTTGGGGAGTTTCCTGGGAGTGGGGGGTATTATTAGGAGGATAGGATGGGATGGGATGGGATGGGATGGGATGGATATCACGTCACATTTCGCTGGGTGTCCAATATTGCAAAGCGAATCAGGTGAAGTGAAGTGGCCTTGTTTTCTACAACATACTTCCAGACTGGATTCTATATCGGAACATAAAAAATTACATATGGAACAACTGTTACAACGCCTCCCCCTTTCAATACCTTACATGCACCTTTCCTTCCCCTTCCCATTTTCCCACCAGTCTTCCTTCCTTCCCCAACATCTTGTATATATATCTTACAACAACCTTCTGCAAAAAGAGCGTCTATAAAACGATTCGCCGAGTAGAGCACTGTGCCTGGTGACTCAAGCCAACCTGCGCAGTACCCCCTCGCTTGCAAGGTGACCATCGTACAATAAACCCCTTATTGTACAAGTTCCCCTCCTTCAGCACACACTCAGCACTTAAAAGCTGTTTCCCCTATCTCCCCTGGGCGCACGATCCCCCCGTCCAAAGCCAACATTCTGCCTCGTAGCCGTCAACGAATAATCCAACCTCAACGACCTATTATACACCTCCTTCCCCTCCAATATCTCCGCCGCCTTAACCGCAGACTCCACATCCGTAAAGTCGGCATGGGCAAATCCTCTCGGCTGCCCAGTGCGACGATCAATAGCAACACGGACATCAATCACGTTCACGATGTCGCGGAACAGCTTGTTCAGGTCGGCATCGGTCATCTCGAAGGCCAGGTTGCCGATAAAGAGGGTCTTGGAGGGGGGGTTCTTGGACTTGGCGTTGGAGCGGGTCTTGGCCATGTAGTTTACGATGAGGCGGCGGCCTTCGAAGATGGTTTGGTTGCGTTGCTCGATGGCGTTGCGAGCGGATTCGATGTCTCTGAATTCGATGTAGCCGAATCTGTTGGGTGTTAGATTGTGCTCCTCCTCTTCTTATGATCTCCCAGAAGGTGGAAAAAAGGGGGGGGTAGGAACGTACCCCTTGCTAAGACCTCTCGGGTCCTGCGCAATCCGACTCGTCACAATCTCCCCATACGGCGCAAACTCCCTCTCCAAATCCTGCGGCGTGACCTCAAACAGCAGATTCCCGACATACACCGAGTTCGTCGGCTGCAGATCCATCGGCGGCCTCGAGTTCGGGCGCGTACCATCCAGATTATCCATTCCGAAGCCCAAGGCCCCAGTCTCAGCAGCGGCCGCGACGGCAGAGCTCACGCTGGACTGCTCAGAGGCATCGGTGGAGATGGGCTCGTCGGACGCCGATGTGCTGCTGTTGTAGCGCTTGAAGGCCGACATGACGGATGCGGATTGGCGGATGGAGAGGGGGGTGGAGGTGCGCGGGGCGGCGCGGAGGAGGGTGCTCGCTGGGGCGGCGAGGGCGCGGGCTGCTGCTCTCTTGATGAAATGCCTGTGGGAGAAGCCATATTAGTCGTGCGTTCTGTGTTACGATTTCCATTGGATGATTTCCCGCGGAGACAGGAAAATTGGAAAGGGTTCTGGTGAAGGGGAGACTTACATGATGATGGGACTGGAAAATTCACTTGGTTTGTGGATTCGAGGGAAGATGGGATGTGGTTTTGGGGGTAAGTGGTGTGAATGAGGGATGGATGTAATGTTCGAAAATTATGGTCGGAGGATAACTTTTCGTTGGATGGGCCTTGCGCTAGGCTATGTTGAGAAATTGCCTGAGCTAGCGGATTATATCGTGCTCCCAACGGCAAGGACAGGAGTAGTCACGTGATCGTTATAACCACAGAGATGCATTCAGGACTCGCTCCACGACCTACAGAACTTCATTAGGCAAGTTATATCACAAATAGGAGTTTGGTTTTTTGCTAGTAACATAGCTTGATTATTCGGTAGATTGGTTCAGATACTTCATTCAAAGTATCTCTATCTTCTACACTCCACCTCCCCACCCATCTCTCCAGGTCATCGCACATATTCCATTACTTTAGCCCCAACCATCCAAGGGTCATCCGGGGTAACGACACTGTCCCAAGACCCCATGCGGTCCCCCAAGCCGGTATTCCCAGCCATCATCAGCCATGCCATCCAAAGCGAAGCTCATATCCCCGCCCCCTTCTCTCCCACCATCTCAAAAATCGCAAACAAAACAAACGCGAGGGTATAACAATTATATGTCTTCTCCCACCCCACCCCATCCCCCCTTCCCACCACCCCCCCGATCCAAAAAAAAGCAAAACCTAATACACCGATTGATAACAATGAGCTACTTTTGCGACCGCATGTGCCGATAAAAATCCCAGCCCAAAAATACAATAGATTAGAACAAGAGGTATGGAGGCAAGTCCTATATCGACAGAACGATACCCGGCAGCGGGTATAAGATGGACCAGTACATATGCTCATAGACTGGAGACGTCAAAATCGGCGCCGCATTCGCTGCGGTAGCCGCAGTAGTTCGCTAGGATGGCGAGGTATAGTCCGCTCGTAGACAAGGCCGTTATCCACGTTTTCATCCGCGCCAATATTAGAACAAATAAATAGCTAAATTATGCAGTCATGATATGCGTAGATGGATCAGACCCGTGGCTGGTAGGGAGGTGCGTATCCGTTCGTTGCGGGCCGCTCGTGGTGGTATTGAACGCCGGTCATGGAGTCTGCTTGCTGCTGCTGCGGGAAGGGCGAGGGTATAGGTGTGTTTAGACTCCGCAGCGGGGGGAGGCCGACTTCAGGCCGGGCTTCTTGGCGGGCGCGGTAGGGGTCGTTGCTGTAGTTGTCTACGGGCGGTGGCGCTTGGCTCACTGGGACGGCGTGCGGTTGCGCCATGTCGCCTCTGATTAATGAGAATTCGTGGCGCATTGTGCGGACTTCAGCGCGGAGCTCGGCGATCTCGTCTCTGCTTCTCTGCAGCTGTGAGTCTTTCCGCGCGTTATCAGTCTGCAGTTGACGGTAATGCTGCTCCAGGTTCTGGCACCTGTCTTCCTGTGCCTTGTGCTGTGCGATGGCTAGATTGTCTGTTAGTGATATTTCACATAACCTGAACGGAAGTGAACTTACATTTGCTCAAGATCTCCCATTTGCTTGTCTTGTTACCGCGTTCCGACGGTAGCATCTCCCGTAGCTCATCGTACAGCTCCTTCATTTCGTTCCTACGCTTACGTTCCGCCAACTTGTGGCTCTTGCGGAGCTCAGGCGTACGGCTATAAGGCTGCGTGCTACCCGGCGAGCCGCCCTCCTCATCGCGGATCTCGCCGACCTGGCGATGTTGCAGGGAGTGGTGGTGGTGCGCAGCACCGTGGAACTCGGACGAGCCACGATTCATCGGCGGGAACTCAGCTTGTGGATAGCCATCCTCCAGACGCCGTTGGCCGCGCGGCAGGCGCGATTCGGTGGTGTATTGGCTGCTAGCCATGGAATCAGCGATGCTGCTGCGGCGGGACTCGAGGTACGACGTCGCATGGCCCTCGATCTCCAAAGGGTTCATGGAGACGCGGCGATCAGTGTCGTCAGGGAAAGCCCAAGGCTGTCCCTTTGTGGGTTCGGCTGCATTGGCAACGGCGCTGGCAGCGGGGCCCGTAATAGTAGGTGCGGTCCGTACATTATACCGTTGAGAGTTGGGTTGGTATGTGTTAGGGAACCTCGGCGCCGAGAGCCTATCGGAGTTTGACACGCTAAGCCCCGGATTCCGCTGCTGCTGCAGGCTGCTCTGTATGGAGGCGGTGGATTGGTTGTTGCTCGCGTAGGGGGGATTGCCCTGGAGTCTCATGCCATCGAAGCCGCTGTTTATGCGCCCGTCTACGCTCTCGCGCCTCGGGTCGGCCAGCGAGGTTGTTGACGCTCTCTGGCCAGGCGCATTGTAGGCCGGGTTGAGCTTTGCGAGCATGCTTTCGTCCATACTGGAAGGTGTCGTCGGGGAAGTCACCATTGAAGTGATGGACATGCCTCCAGACACGGGGGAGGCCAGAGGTTGGGGGGCATGGCCGGTTGTCGCAATAGGCGACGGTGTCATATCGGCGGTGGAAGATTGGTAGCCGTTCGACGGCGACGGGGTAATAGAGCCAGTGTTCCGGGGCGCTGCTATTGAATTATCTGTGCAGAATTGATTAGCATGCGTTGAGTGAAGTCGGCCCAAGAGTGAGCGGCCTGGGGCCTGGGGGGTCAATCCTCACGTTTGCTGCCGTCGCCATTAGTACTGGAGCCCGAGTAATAAGCCGAGTCTCGCTGTTCCTTGGTGGGGTTGAGGACGTCTACAATGGTGGCAACCGACGTCGGTTGCAGAACAGTTGATGTTATATCGGTCATGGTGTCAGAGAGAGAGAGAGAGAGAGAATGCAAGCACGAGATGCGACGACAATTTGGTGGGGGATTGCTGCAGAGGGGATCACAGCAATTTGACGGGTTGGGGTGGTGGTAAAGCCAAGCTAAGGCGCGGCGCGCGGTGCAAAAACGTGGAATGCAGGGCTGGTATGGTAGCGATGTCAATTGTAGTGACTGGAGGTGTGCCGCAGAACGTAGATTCGGGTTTGAGTTTGGGTATTGTTTTTCTTCTTCTTTTTTTTGTGGTGAAAAGAGAGATTTTGGAAGACTTCAAGTAGAAGGAAGGGAAGGGTTCGAAAGAAGAAGAGGAAGGGGTAGTAAGTAAGTATAAAGTAGTGGAGTGAACCACGAGATTAGATTGTTTAAAGTGAAGGTAGGAGGAAAGCAGGAAGGTAGGAGAGTTGACATAGTTTGGGGTGGGTGGTGGGTGGTGGGTTGTAGGCTTGTAGTGGATGTGGTGGATGGGTGTAGTGGATGTAGTGGATGGGTGTAGTGGATGTAGTGGATGGGTGTAGTGGATGTAGTGGATGGGTGTAGTGGATGTAGTGGATGGGTGTAGTGGATGTAGTGGATGCAGTGGATGTATGGATGTTGTAGTGGTACATAGTTTGGTATGGAGCGAGTTGCGACTAGACAGGGAGTGTGGTTGTACTAGGGCAGGACAGGGAGGACAGGGCGGGGCGGGGCCTGGGGGGGAGACACGAGCAACGCACGGCGTAAGAGTGGAATCCAAGTACGGCCAAGTACTACCTACTCGAGATTCCTCCGTGAACCACTACTGCTGGTTACCAATGCGCGAACCGTGTGGATGTTTCGGCGCTGTAGTCGCGCGGTGGACAGGGTGGAAGGGGAGTCTAGTACCACTACCCTACCACTACCCTACCACTGCCACTACCACTACCCTACCACTACCCTACCACTACCCTACCACTGCCACTACCACTACCCTACCACTACCCTACCACTGCCACTACCACTACCACTACCCTACCACTACCCTACCACTACCCTACCACTGCCCTACCACTGCCACTACCACTACCACTGCCGCATACTACTATTTCTAAGTGGGTGTGTGGGTGTGGTGCCGCGTGAATTTTAAGTGGGTAGGAGGAGGGGGAGAGGGGCGGATGGTCAATTGCCCTGATCCAGGTACTCACTGTACATAGTACTTTGACCTAACTAATCTAACTAATCTAAGCTAGTAGTACTCGGGTAGTAAGATGTGGTATGGCTAAGCTACCTAAGCGTAATACCAAGAGTAGCCCGAGCTAGTAGTAGTAAGGTGTGTTTTATGGTTGTCTGCCCCTGTGTCCGCCCTCTGATTGGCTCAAACACACTCCGGCGGCGGGGGAAGGGGGTTTCAGTTGCTTATCGATTATAGGCTGAACAGAGGCTAGGACGGATCCCAGGAAGGGTATGTGGCCCGGTATTCTCTACTACATATCCCGTGCAAGACAACGACGGCCACGTTGTTGCTGACAAGACTACTGTCGAGTGGGTGCCGATGTGGATGTCGTGGATGTGGATGTGGATGTGGATGTCGTGGATGATGTGGATGTCGTGGATGATGTGGATGTCGATGTGGATGTCGATGTGGATGTCGTGGATGATGTGGATGTCAATGTGGATGATGTGGATGTCGATGTGGATGTCGGTCGGAGGAGCATGGTTGGAATAAGGTAGAGTACTCCGTGGCCTGTGGACTCCTTTACTGCGGGTGTGCGGGTGTGCGGGTGCAAACGACACGCGGAGAAAGGTGATCCCCGAAAGCACACGCCGTCCTTGGGTCTTGGTATCGACGAACTTTGCTGTACGCTGTACTGTCAACTACAGTATGGGCTGTGGTGGTGATGTGGTGGTGATGTGGTGGTGATGTGGTGGTGATGGTGGCTTGCGTGCATGCGTGGCCATGTTGGTCCGATCTTGTCTCACTTCCCACCTCCTCTCCGTTGCCGCTCTCCAACGACTACAAAGTGTCACGAGGGTGAGAGGACGATCGAGGTGTCGAGCAGTTCAATCCCTTTCCTGCCCGCCGGTCAGCTCTCCCCCGACCGGCCACCACATGGCTACGTGCATCATCTGCCCGTGAATCATTGCCAGGCGCATGCTACAGTGTACACCTTTCGTGTGCGCAAACACCGAACTGCCCTGTCCGCTGCCCAGGCGCGCGACACATCGTCCCGCTCGCTCCAAGCGGCGCCAATACTTGCCTTGGTTGGGCCCAGAACGCGTTTTCCGTGCGACCTGACCTGCCAAGCAAGGGATCTCTGACTCTCGTCCGACGCCCGTTCCAGGTTCCAGCCAAGGGGTTGGCTGGCTGTGCAAGGGAGAGCCAGAAACTCGACGCCGAGGGAGCGAGGGAGGATCGCAGGTTCACCCTGCTGGCAATAGACAGACGCCCCTCGGTTCGTTGTTTGGCATGAGATGATGGCTGCTGGCTCTATTATAGCCTCTCGATTTTCCATTATAGATGTGTTTGTGAGATCGCCGCAAAAGCATCCTGGTACTTGAGCTTATCTCGGAACTAACATACCCATCCAACTTTGCGATTGGCCCAGGCGCATTCAGGAACCAGTCTTTCTCACGTGGCGGGCGATGACGACGTCGCATCTGGACACATACCAAACTACACACCTCCACCACGATCACCAAAAACCAACCCCTCGAACACAACTGACTACACACCTCCACCACAATCACCAAAAACCAACCCCTCGAACACAACTGACTACACACCTCCACCACAATCACCAAAAACCAACCCCTCGAACACAACTGTTTGTTTTGTTGCAGTAACACAAAACCATCAACTTCCCCCCTCCTCTCAACTTTACATGCTAGTGTTTTGTATGTGGAAGGTACATCCTCGGGGTTCATCAAAGGAAAGCAAAGCCCGTGAAGGGGAACCACTCAGAGGCCACGGACAGGGAAATACTAGACCCGCTCCGCCGACTGGGCAAACTAATGGGTCTGTGCAGGGACGGCGTGGTAGGCGTGCGTGGAAAAGTTCCGAGCGGAGGGGTATGGCATGGGATGGGTATGGGTATGGGTATGGGTATGGGTATGGGTATGGGTATGGGTATGGGTATGGGTATGGGTATGGGTATGGGTATGGGTATACGGTATACTCGTACTTTGGGTTAATAATTGTTGACAGGGAACCCATGTACGTAGTTCAAAAAGCTGCGAGAAATAATAATATATAAGTAATAACAAAAATAATAATCTACATTAATATTTTGTATGCCACCCTTAGCATCAATAACAGCGTCAAAGTATAAACCCGAAGACGTTCATCTCCAGTAAGCCCTTGCTGTCGCTTTGGAGTTAATGGCGGCCATTGTTGTTACTTAATTATAATAATATAACGCGTCACGTACGTACGAGTGGTAAACATAACATTACTCGGGTTTTTATTGAACTATACTTCTCTACTTCAATAAAAACCGAGTAATGGTATGGGGGAGACGATCATTGCACGTTTAACAAGATGCCGTACCCGGTCTGGTCGTTCCTGCATGGGAAGGGGGAAGGGGGAAGGGGGAAGGGGGAAGGGGGAAGGGGGAAGGGGGCCGATCTCAGCTGGACAAAGCGTCGTCCGTTTGAAAGACGCTGGGATGTTGTCCATCGCCTTGGGTTAAATTGGGGGACTATGCCTAGGAGGGGAACGCAGCAAAGGGGATCATGACGGTCTTGCTTCATTGAGAAACTGAGATCGCGCGCTTGCCCCATGGTGTGCTTCTCCCAGATCCAGCACAATGATCCAGCACAATGATCCAGCACAATGATCCAGCACAATGATCCAGCACAATGATCCAGCACAATGATCCAGCACAATGCGCAGAGGATCACGCCCATCACGGCCGCGTGGGCCCCACAAGGTAACGGAGGAGGCTTGTCGGGACGAACCAATTTGGTCGCTGGAGCGGGCTCTGTTGGCGAAATATGGGGGAAAATCGGGGCTGGCACAGGTTGAGCGAAGTACAACAGACGGACAGACCGGCACAGGCGGTACAGAGAGACAGGCCACCAAGGTGTCGGTTTTACCTCTCCTGTCAACCACATTCCCTTGCCTGACTGTGGCTCCCCTTCACCTGAACCCAATGGATCCGGGAGTCTCTCGATGCGGCACGAAGCCGGTGAGATGGGCCCCTTCCCCGTCCCCATCCCCCGTACATGCAACTCGGCGTGGTCCGACAGCACGAAACGGAACGAGGAAGGCTCGACTGGGAAAGAGATCGAGGGTCGTGGAAGCTGGATTGGGATGAGGTGATACGGTTGTCTCTCTATTTGACACCACGGCCCTCAGTGTGACATGCAATATGCAATGGGGTCCGGAATCATGACCGTCGAGGAATCACACCTCAGGTAAGGTAGAGAGAGATCGAGATCGTTGTGGGCATACTCATGCTTGGTTGCTTCCTTGCCTGTTTAGTCACCAGCTTGCTCTTCACCAGTGCTTAGGAATCGGCTTGGGTGGTCGTGGCGATAATAGGCAGAAGAAATTATTGACTGTCAAACGGCTGTGGCGAAAGCTCCCCTCTCCCCTCTCTACTCGGGCGTTGTCAGGCTCCCAAACCCATCCCATCCCACAGCATTTGACTTTCACCAGTGACCCTTTTCAGCGGTATCGGGCTCCCTTCCTGGCCGAGGGGGCACCAACGTGGCTCTCTTCAGGGTTATGGTGTGGAAGAGCATAAGCAAATCGAATGGTGAGGCGGACTGGCACAACCGTGCATAAGCCAACCACAACGAATCTCGAAATCGTCGGTGACGTCTGATTTGCTGCCCGACTTTCGATTCCTGCAGCGGGCTAGCCAGTGATGTCACCACCAAACCCTCCCCCCGCAACCTCAAATTCTCCGTCGACGACAGAACAGCCAGGCTGGGGCCACGATGCCACGAAGAACGCGAAACTTCGCTTTTGCTTCCTGGGGATATGGGCGATAGAGGTCACTCAGCGGGCCGTGTGAGAGGAGAGAAGGCTGCGCCTTCTCGCCCAAGCGGTGTGGTGGTTGATGCTTCGCTTCCTGTTGGGTCGAGGATCGCTGACATCCAACCCACTGATCCCACGGGCCCTGCAACCCCTCTGAGTGTGATCCTACCACCATGCATTAAGGCCCTTGGGAGCCACACACCAAACCTCGAGATTCAATCAGAGAGCCGCCCTGTCTTGTTTCCTCAGCGCCTTACATTACTTCGCTCCCCTCTGACCGCCGTCCCTTTTCGAAACTTATTCTCTTGCGAACCACCTTGGAAGGCAATCATAGACGCCAAACACGATAGTCGGTTTGTGAGTTGACTTGAAGTATATTTGGTTGATTAAGATCTTCGCTGCCACATTTGTGAGGCTGCAGAATTCCTCCTCTATTATCTTCGGGCCCACATAGTTCGTTCTTCACAAACCTTCATGATGTCGACAAGCTTCACTGGCAATCCCATACCCGGGCAACAGCAACAAGAGAGACAACAACAACAACAACAGGATCAGGAACAATGGAGACGGGAGCTATTGGAATTGCAGGCTCGAATCAGCGCTCAACTGGCCACATGCCCACCGCTTCCGGCCGCGTCGTCCCAACCCAACATGTCCACCGACCGCCCGCCGATACACCGCCGACAACGTTCTCAGAATGAGATCTCGAGGTCTCTATCCATGGCTGGAAACACAAGCCGCGCTGCCTTCCCGGTAGGATAATGCTCCTAATTCACGTTTGCCCCCGCCTTGGTTCTAATAGCAACTAGGGACGAAACCATGTGGGATCTATGGGGATGTCGAGGAGCGTGTCACAACATTCTGGAGGCCCTGCGGCCATGTCCCGGACCAAGTCTATGGGAGCACCGCCGTCATCGATGTCGAGGTCCCTCTCTAGCAGCGGACGAACAGCACCGCGCCAGCAGATGACGGGAGGCCACCCGAGCTCAGCCGATATCGACGCATGGCAATCTCATCAAGATGGCCCATACACCTATCAGCAATACCATCAAGCACAACCGGAGCTGGCACAGGTCCCGGAACTGGACATCGGCGAGGATCCCAGGAACTACTTCTCTCAGAGACGGACGCCCTACCTCTCGGTGACGACGGAGGACTTCCCCCCGAACAACTTCATGATCAACAAGCCGGCCCAGGCCCGATTATCACCGTCAAGGCGCAGTACATTCAGTAACCCAGCCCCAAATACTCCGAGCAGCACAACGCTAACAACGGATAACACATTTGTAAGTGATCTGAGCCGCCAAAGCAGCACATGCAATGAAGCTCTTCAGAGCTTCCAGATGGTGAATGTTCACTCGAATACTTCTATGTTTTCTGATATCAGCTCTACCGATGATGCATTTTACGGCGGCTCGACGCAATACTACCCACCATCCGACCTAAAGCAGGTATCCTCGAGCGAAGAGCAAAACCTTTTGCTCGCTGGGGCTGGCGGGGCTGGGTACGGCCAGCAAGTTCCTTACCCATTTTTCGCTTCTTCTCAGAAGATGTCTTCAACTTCGAGTCGTCACGTGGAACGTATGCAGCGCACGGAATCGACCGACAGCAATGTATCGTCCTCATCGGCCTCTAGATCTCGGCAACAGCTACAGAGGCAAAACCAGCTTGCGACAAACCGCAAATTAGCACCAAAGGGAGGCAGCGACGACGACGAATCCCAAACAGTCTCCCCGCTCGTCCACATCAAGTCTAAAGACGGCCAGGAAGACAGGTTCGTAGCTCAAATCTCCAAAACCCCCTACCAGCGCCCCAAACACGAACGCCTCCACTGCGACCTCTGCGACGACCGCGAGGGCTTCCGGGGCGCCCACGAGCTCGGCCGCCACAAGGACCGCCAGCACAAGGACATGGTCAAGAAGTGGGTGTGCATCGAGCCCGTTGACGGGGTCAAGGACGAGTTCCGCCCCATCAACTCCCTCGCCAAGTGCAAGGCGTGCACCCAGCAGAACAAGAAGTACGGCGCCTACTACAACGCCGCTGCCCACCTGCGCCGCGCCCACTTCGTGCCCAAGCCTCGCGGCAGGAATAAGTCGGGGAAGGCGGACGATAAGTCCGAGAAGCGCGGGGGCAAGGGAGGGGGTGATTGGCCCCCGATGACGGAGCTGAAGCGTTGGATGAAGGATGTGTATGAGAGCTCTGATGTAGTGCAGCAAGATGACGACGAGGAGTCTGGCGAAGATGACGTCCTCCATGCCGACCTCGAAGATCCGACTATGGCGACGCCAGCGAGTCAGATGGCTTTCGATCAGAGCTTCCTCTACCCCGTCGAAGCCCCGATGTTCGACTACTCCTCCTCCGGCGGCTCGAGCTTCGTCACCCCCAACGAGGGCATGGACATGAACGACATGGGCGGCGTGATGAACGCCTCCTTCGGGCAGGGGTTCCCGCACGGCGAATTCGACCAGTCGATGTTGATGCCGAGCAGCCAGCAGTCGGGCGACTTCGACGCCTCGATGGTGATGACGGCTAATGACCTGTCGTCCTTCATCGACCCGCACCAACCCCATCATCCTTCTTTTGCAACACAGAACACCCTCCTCTCCCACCAGACTTTCATCGACCCAGAGCTCGCCTCTGATTTCCTCTCGTATGACGCGACTATGTAAGGTTTTTTGCTGTGCGGGGCTGCTTGGCTCAATCGTAGGATTGGGCTGGGGCGCGGTGATGTGGCTGGTGTTATGCACCTGCCTTTTGTTCTATCTTGTTCTACTTCTTGTTTTCTTCTTTTTTTTCACCTTTACCCGTTTCGTGATGAAGTGATGCAGCGTGGTGAGCAGCTATTCATACGTTCCCCTCCTCCCAACAACATTTGTGTGTATGAAGTTGGAAAGAACAGGAAAGAAATTACACATTTACAAATCATCATTAGTCAAAACTCCCTCCTCATCCCCCCTTCCTTCATCATAAACTACACCTTTTTTCCCTCTTTCCTCTTCGAAACATGTCTATTATTCGGGCCTCTCTACATCATATTAATCGCAAAAATACCTCCTATTTCTATTTCTACGTCTCTATTTTCTATTTATTTTCACTTCTCAACTCTTATTTCTGGGGGGCGGGCTTGGGCTTGCAACGCATGAGTTCCAGGAGGGCGCGTACATATGGTATCTACAAGGTCGACGATGCGGTATTCTACATGGGCGGAAATTTCATACAGCCAAAGGCTGTGGTGACGGTCGGCATGGGTTCTTTTTGGGGATTGAAATGCGGGGGGGACGGTGGACGACGGCAGAGGGGACGGCATGTGAGTGGAGATCGAAGTGCTCGAATCTACGGTACGATATTCAAAGGAAATAATATTTTCTCACGAAACAACAACTGAATGACTTTTATGACAACGTAGTATTTTATTTTATTTGGTGGGAGCGAAACGCAGGGCTGGTGGTAATTCGAGGAGGGGTGTATAAATCGGTGGTTTAGTATCATAGCCATATCATAATCATATTCTGGATTCGTCCTTGTTTGTTGTTTTAACAACTATTTGATTCTACAAGTATTTTGTCCGTCGAAAACATGATACGGTGAATATTCAAGAAGAATAAAAAATGACAGTACCGATTTCCACCCATCTACAACCAAATCCCCGATTAACCCACACAACCCCCCCCCATACCACACGTGTCCGCCCGTACCGTAATCGGCCGATGAACAACCAAGGAAGGAAGGGACCTCCATCTCTCTCCCTCCTTTCTTTTTCGCAAACAGTGGGGATGGACGGCGTAGGGAAGGAAGGGTGGGGGGGGGGCAGGGAGGTGTGATGTACGTACAGCGTAGGTGTATGCAAGGAGGAGTGGGGTCGGTAGTAAGTAAAGCACACACATCCCATCCCATATCCCAGGCCTACCGTGTCCCCCGTGAGTCGTCGGGAATAGATTCCTGTTCGCTCGCGGCACTGGAATATCTCACCGCCGGCTTACACACTAACACGCACTCCGTGCTTGGTGAAACGTGATCGCATCGCCTGTCTGCTGTGTGGTCGATGGCTGGGGTGGTTGGCGAGGTGCTCGCTGGCCGGGGGTGCTGGTGCGAGGTGATGCGGAAGACTGGGATGTCAGGGCGATGTCGGCGTTGGGATGGTGGTGATGTGTTTAGTATGATATCAGTGTGATGAGAGTGTACATTGAAGAAAGGGCAGGGCAATACCATTATCAAGACAGAAACAGACAAACAGGACAGGAGGCCAAGATTCGTATCCACACCACGAACCACCATCAAAACCAGAAGGTGATAAAAATGGCCCTTTGTCTATTATAAATATATACAGATCCCCCCGCCCCGCTTTCCATCCATTCAGAGGCGCAGCGCGCGCGGTGCAGAACTAGCTATCAATCTGCATCGCGTGCCTCTTCTCTCCCCACGTAAACTCGTAGTAGAGGCTGAGAGGTTGTGGCCAACTGACTGACTGGTTGGCCTGCCTCCGTGATGCAACGCTGCCCATCGTGCAACCCAATATCCCGCCGAGCCTCACCCGGGGGTATCCAAGCCTCCTATCTACTCCCCATAAGAGCCAGCTCATCTCGACGGAGACTGTCTACTCTAGCTGGGGCAATACATGGATATGAAGACCAAGGTCTACCCATCTCAATCGACGCAGACCATGCAGACGCTCAATCCTCCCCCCACCAAGAGAGAGGGTCTAGGGTCTCCCAAATAAACAACTCACCCGCTCTGAAAAAACCCCAAGCCCGCTGAAACGCGCACCAAAACGCCTCCGCTGCCCAGACAGACTCTGAACATAACAAAAAACCAACCTGGCATCGCTCGCTCGCTCACTCAACGCCATTGTTCAATTTGTCGTCGTTCGCAAAATCTACACACACGTACGTACGCTTCCCCATACGCTCTGCTCATGTGAGCCCCGCCCCGCCAGGGCAATCAACCAGCCACCCATCAACATTAGATAGCCCAGCTCCCCCTCCTCGCCCTCACGCCCCACGCAATCGGCTCCCCCGAGTTCGTCGACAGATTCGGGTGCTGACGCGCCCACTCATGGATATACCTCTTCAGAGCCATCCACCTCGGGGTCCCAACGCCCACCGCCCCGGTGGCATCCGTGAGTCCCGTGCCGGGCTTAATCCCCACATTCCCCACCGGCGCCTTGACGTCGTCGTCGACGCGCAGCTGGGACGAGGGGATATGCGAGATATGCGCGAGCTCGTCGTCGTACTCGCGCGCTAGCATCGGGTAGCCGAGGGAGAGGTAGTTGTACACCTGCGTGACGAAGGTGTCGTTGAACTCGACGCAGATGGCGTCTTCGAGCTTAGCCTTTGCGACTTCGCCCTTGAGCCGCTCGTCGAGACCGCTGAGCATGCGCATCCCGCGACTGGGAGTACATTGGTGGTGTTTGGGCGCCGCCCCAGCACCGTCGTTGAGGTTCAGTGCGTTGAAGGGGTCGTCGCGCTCGTTGTCGGGCGTCTCGAGGAGGGCGGGGTGGCGGTGGTGAGGGGCGATGCATTGGCTTGCGTTTTCGGCGACGCAGTAGCCGCCCCAGAGACCGCCGCCATCGTCTTTCTGGAGTGGGGGGGGCTCGATGCGTTGGTCGGTTTCAAATCTTGTGAATTTAGGGGAGGGGCACATCCGGAATAGGAGGTCTTCTCCTAACATGGGCGGGCTGGCAGCCTCGCGCATGACTTTCAGCTCTTTGTCTTTCGGTTCAATGGCAAGGACGCCCTTATCGTTGATGCCATTTGTCCAGAAAGGGTCGTGGAAGGAGGGCTTGGCTGCCTCTTCCGCAAGCATCCTAAACGTCTCCTCGGCCCGCATCCGCGCCTGCGACTCCTCATGCTGCTGGAGCTCTGCCGCCGTAAACCCGGAAACCGTAGATTTCTTCCGCGCCACCTTCTCATGCGGTAATAGTATTGGGCCACTATCCTCATCCGACCCCACCTCGCTCTCGAGGTCGTAGAAATGCGAGACGGGATCGTGGAAGTCGCTATTCACGTAAGCCACCAACTCCTGCTCGCGCAGCTGCCTCTCCCGTAATTGTTCCTCGGCCTGCTCCGCCGCGAGCGTCAGTAGATAGCCCGTGTAATTCTCATCGCAGCTCTCCCTCGTGCGGGCCATCTGTAGGCGGTTTGAATCCTCCGAGGACCCGAACGACTCGGTCAGCGAGGGTGTGCTCTCCGCGTTATCGGCCTCGTCTTCCGTGGTGTAGGAATTCGAGTCTGAGAGCGGCGGGCCTATTTCCGGGTGGTATGAATTGTATCGCGTGCCCCGACGTGTGTTGGGGTGCGGTCTCATCGACCCCTGTCGATAAGGGCGGAGAGGCGGTGGTAAACTGCTGGCTCGGATGTCGTGTGGCGATAATAGGTGCTGGTCTGGCTTCGTCCTGGATCTCCCTCCTGACTGGTATGTATGGTTCGTCCCCGGCGTGACGTCTGTCCTCTCTGGTGGTGTGTGGTGGACATCGTTGGCTCGCTTTGACCGCCTTGTGGTTTCGATGAGTTGGGGGGGAAATCGAGGTCTCCTCCGCGGTGGAGACTCTACTACAGCGGCTGGAACATCTTGAGTGGTCGTAATGGGGTTATCTTGCGCTGGCTTCACCGCTGTTGCACGGTTGCTGCGTCGGGTGGTCTCGATGGGTTGAGGTAGGAATCGAGGTTTCGGTGGCTCATCTAGCTGCACGCGGATAGTGGGATTGGAATCTTCGCCCGCCGGCTCGGTGTCGTGGGTACTCGGATCAATTGAATCGATTGTGAGCTGCTGGTGGGACTTGAATGTCGTCTCTATGGGAATCGGCAAGAATCGACGTCGCAGTGGTGGTTGGGTGGACATTGAGAGTATGGCAGGCTTGTCGAGGAAGCAAGGAGAGGAGGGACAGAGCAGGGTGGGATAGAGAGATTAGAGCGATAGTGAACGGCGATCGAGGGAGGGGAAGCAGCAGCGAATATGTGATAGATAATGACCACACGCCGTTTCAGGGCAGAAGAAGACTGGTGTTGATAGGAAGCTCTTGACACACGGAGGTGACGGTAATCCTGGAATAATTGTGGCTCTTGGGGGACCTAACACCGCACAAGAGTATTAATGGCCACAGGAAGCGTATAAGTAAGAACGCTAAGAACGCTAAGAACGGTAAGAGCAGCGACAACAGTAAGAACAGGACAAAATGGCGTTGATTCACTGCATACGACAAACAATCATGTGGAGAAGGGGAGTCTAGAGCCTGGAGTGGCGGCTGGAGTAGCAGGTGGAGTAGCCGCTGGAGTAGTGGAAATAGCCTGGATAGTGGAAGTAGCCTGGATAGTGGAAGTAGCCTGGATAGTGGAAGTAGCCTGGATAGTGGAAGTAGGGTTAGTGGAAGTAGCCTGGATAGTGGAAGTAGGGATAGTGGAAGTAGCCTGGATAGTGCATTGACGGGGCGGTTGGCCCCAACAAAGACGACAGGACAGGATGGCTACAGACGGATACTCTATCTACCATGGTATAGAGTATATGCACAGGGTAGCATACTATCATGCCAATATCTATGCCAATATCTATGCCACTATGCCACTATGCCAATATCTATACCACTATGCCAATATCTATGCCAATACTCCGTATGGAGAGGTAAATTCTTATTCTCCCATATTCAATCCCCTGGATTCCCCCTTGCCACCAAGAATAGTTTGCCCACTAGACCCGGACGCTATGAACCGCACTCCGATACCAGACGGACTGTCCCGGGCGGGCGGTGGGTTGTACCTTCCTTTCCCATACCTTTCCCATACAAAAAACCAAAACCTTTACAACTTTATTGGCTGTGCAGCGTTCCGAGTACAGCCAAGTATCTCCCGATACACAACACTCTCCGATGTATGTGCCCATCGTCCGCCATCGCACCACGGTAGCACTGGCTGGGCGCCGGACGAAAGCTAGTAGCGAGGGGTCGGTGAGGGAGAAGACGCAAAGCACGAAACGGGATGCACAGCGGAGATCCTCCAAGTTACTGGACGCTCTTGCTCTGATAACACCGGTGCCATGCGGTGGCTGATCTTGCCCGCCGCCCACTACCTGCAAACCTCTTGTCATCGTCATGGCTTCAACATCGGAACTCAAGTTGCCATCGATGCTGTGTACATCGGATCTACCTGCATACACGTCCAACCCCACCCGTCCATCCTGTCTCATCTACCAAACAAACCGCTCGTGACCACCAACACAATTGTCTCTCCCACCTGCCAACCCCCCACCCACCAGATACGCCCCGCTATGCTAAACCCAGAACGTGACACATGTCCCTGCCTCATGACGAAAAACAGCCCATGTTTTCCCCTCCCTTTTCCCCTACGACTCCCGCGCGCCAACCATCGACTCCAGCTTCCCCGCCAAGACGCGGTGCTTCCTGATAACATCCACCCACTCCTCCGTGTCCTCGCCTTCCTCCTCCAGGAACGTGAGGATCATGCTGAAGTCCCCGCCCAGCCGGCCCAGACTGGCTGCGCAGTAGAGCACCTGCGTTAGCAAGCTGTCGCGCGTCGCGCGGTCCTGCACGTTCGGGAGGTATTTCTTGAGCGTGTCAAGAAGCACGCCGACGAGATGCAACGGGAACGTCGACAGCGACGACGGCAGCGGCTGGGGCATATCGCTCTCCCCGTGCCCCTTGCCGGCCACGCCGTCCACCTCGCCCTCCGCGGCCGCCGGGAAGATACTCCGGAACATAGAAATGATAGCGAAGCTCTGCTCGCGGAAAATCTCAATGTAGCGCTTGAGATAGCGTTCCGTTTGCTGGCCGCCCGACCACGCGGTGCTCCGGTCCTTCTTCGTGACAGGTGAGGCGTTGTTTGATAGCTCTTGGTCTGCCAGTTCCCGTAGCGGCTCCAGCGCACCAAGCATCGCCATCAGGTTGGCGAGGCGGCAGACGAGGAAGAGGCCCCCGAGGCTGCCTTCGTGGCTGCTGCCTACTTCTGAGCCGGGCGTGTCGAGCTCGGGGGCGATTCGGCGCAGCCAGCTGATGGTGCGCATTGCGGCTGCTAGCTTTAGGCCCTGCGCTTTTAGACTTGATATCAGATTCGTTGTCATGGCGTGCATCTCCTCTTCTGCCTGTACTGTGACCGACGACACCAATCGTGATTCCGGGTATAGTCCATGTAGTCGCCGGATGTGCGCATTTAGATCCAGCGCAGAGGCATAGTTGATTGTAGCAGAAGAAGACGTATTGCTTGTCAAGCTGGTTGCGCCAGACGTAGATATCGCCGAGGAGAGGAGGGTTGGGAGCTCGAGGACATCGCCCAGGCGGTCTGAATTGCGCGAGAGTAGTAAGGCCTTGCGCCGCCTGTCTAGGATAGCATTTTCTGTATTCTTGTTGTAGGTTGTGGCGAACCGAAGCGCCTCTTCGTCTAGCTTTGGTATGGCATCCTGAAGCTTCGTTGTGCTCTCCGCTATAGCTGGGAGAGTGGTCTGTAGTGAGGAGAGGTGGTCGGAAGAGGCGATGACAGCCTTGTGCGACCGCGATGAGAGGGCTTGGAGAGATAACAGCAGTGAGTGGGATGCTTGCGCCAGCGATTGGGGCTCCGAGTCGCTGAGTGAGGATAACGGGAGGGTCGTGAGCCTGGCAAGGTAGGTGGATGTGATGGGGTCACTGGGCGACCTCAAAGACGCAGACGAAGTCTGGCCAAGGTGAGGAGCCAGAAGCTCATAAAGAGAGTCAGACATTGCCGTGGCATGTAAGGGCCCACGCCAGCATCATAAGAGCTTATTGGGCTTATTCAAAGAATATTATCACGAGGCAGCCTTGTAGAAGCAACGTGGGAAGGAAGGCTGTCAAGGTTGCAGTATCGCCATTCTTTCAGCCTCGGCATCCTCCGTTTAGGCAAGAGGTCCAACGAAGGCGCTTGTGTGGGGCGATCACCCCAGTGCTAACTATGGTCATCGTGACTACTGCCCCAACGAATTCAGACTGCGTTGAACCTCTCACAGTTCATCGCGTCTGCCTTCGTAGGCCTGCGCCCCTCTGACTGTAAATAAGAAGCTTCGCCGCCCGATTTCCTCTCAAAAGCCTCATCTGCGACCAACCGAACCGATCTGGCACATTCCTTAGAAACCCCGCGACGATGCGTGACTTCATACCCCCCATACCCTTCCTAGCGAAGGCGATTACTCCGTTCGCAGAGTATATCGGCGCAACAACACTGCCTCTGCACATTCACGAGGTTGTCGTCTCATATCTCGCCTATACTTTCATCAATAAGAAGGTCGCGCCAGCCGTATCGACATGGCTCTTTCCTCAGAAGTACCCGGCGCTCTCGGCCGAGAAGAAGTTCAACTGGAACGTCCATGTGGTGTCTCTATGCCAGAGCCTTTTGGTCAACAGCACGGCTCTCTATGTCATCTTAACTGATGATGAGCGCAACAACATGACCTGGCAGGAGCGGGTCTGGGGCTACACCGGGGCGTCTGGGATGATTCAAGGTTTGGCCACTGGGTACTTCCTCTGGGATCTGGTTATCACTATCCAGAACGTCAAGATGTTTGGGCTGGGGATGCTGGCGCATGCTGTCAGCGCTCTGACGGTGTTCTCTTTTGGTTTTGTAAGTAATATGAGAGAGCTTCAGGGTGCTACGCTAATAGATTCCTTCACAGAGACCCTTCGTTAACTACTATGCCTCGACTTTCATTATTTACGAGCTATCCTCGCCATTTCTGAACTTCCACTGGTTCTTTGATAAACTGAACCTGACCGGATCTCGTCGCCAGCTCGTCAACGGAATACTGCTCCTCGCCACCTTCTTTGGCTGCCGTCTATGCTGGGGAACATACCAATCTCTGCGGGTATACCAGGACATGTGGATGGCATTACACCACACCCCTGGCGACACTTTCGGAAAGGTTGAATCTCCTATCCACGATGAAATCATGAAGTACACAAAAGAGGAGTTCCTACCACTCTGGCTGGCAGTCACCTACCTCGGAAGCAACCTCGTCCTGAACGCACTGAACTTCTACTGGTTTGCAAAGATGATCGACGCTCTGCGCAAGCGCTTCGTCCCGGCCGAGAAGGCCAACTCGAAGCCAAAGTTGGCCATGACTGGCGCTAATGGCACGGTGAAGATCGAGGCTGATGAGACTATCGTGCGCCGCAGAAATGTGCCTCTCCCAGAGGCAGATATCGTGCCGATTCCGTGAAGGGCTGGGGTGCTCAATGTAACCAAGCTATGATGGCTCATATTGGATATGAGATTGACGACGTGTGGCTTCCTTTTCTTTTTGGAACGACATAGTTCAGGGTCAATGGTGTAGTATACGAGTCGAGGGGCCGTAATGGAGGGGTACTCTGTTGGGAGCGGAGCGCCACAGCGAGCAGAACCAGCCCCCTGCTTTCTTGTTTATACGTACAGTGAGGTCAGAATACTGCGACCTATAAGATCACGAGTATAAATCCAATTTCTACTAAACATTATAACACGGAGTTGAATATTGATTGTAGCACAAAGGAGTAGAAATGCGAATTGTATCACGTGATGGGTCGGATAGATAATCACGTGCGTTTGTGATTTGGAAGTTTGAAGCTGATTCATTCATCGCAAATCAAGCAAGCTAACCCCCCCAACATTACCTGTCCCACCCCTCACTTCTAAATAACTGATGTCAGTACAGTAATGCTGAGATAATTATTTCCAAGGCCCTATAAGAGTATAGTATCTTTTCGAGCTTTCTCACTCATTCTCGTTTTCCTAGTTTCTTTGGTGTTTAAACTCCCCATCAATCCCGATGAAGCTGTTCTTTTCATTTTCACAACCGCAATCGCACTCCTCTCAATCGCATTCAGTGATACCATACTCGCCCGCATCGGTCCATTGACAGACATCCTCCTAAATAGAAACAACAGCAACCAAACCGCTACCACGTCTTCCTCAAACTCCCAAACTACAGTCACTACCTCCATTGAGGGCCTCCCAGTCATTCCTCCTACCGAGATCTACGGCGCGCCAAAAGCAGAAGCCATGTCTGCCCCCCGCGCAATCCGCAAAGCCTTCCTGGCTATCCAGCAATCTGAGGGTGTAGGCGCCAAAGTGCGCCGCTCGATCGGCACCCCTCAACTCCGCAACTTCAGCCCCTTCCTCATGCTGGATCACTTTACCAGCTCCCCCGGCTCCGGCTTCCCTGATCATCCTCACCGCGGACAGGTACGTTCCCGCCCCCGCAGCCACCTTGCGGGTGGTCTGTCCCCCAAATAAAACGAACTCTTACTAACCCCACCCAGGAAACAATCACCTACCTCCTCTCCGGCGCCGTCGACCACGAAGACTTCGCCGGCAACAAAGGCACCATCGAAGCCGGGGACCTGCAATTCATGACCGCCGGCCGCGGCATCATGCATGCCGAGATGCCGCGCGAGCTCTCTGATGGCGCCCCGGTGGTCGGGATGCAGCTCTGGGTCGACCTCCCCGAGAAACTCAAGATGTGCGAGCCGCGATACCGGGATCTGAAAGCTAGCGAGATTCCGCACGTTAAAACGGATGATGGGAAGGTAAATATTAAGGTCATCTCGGGACAGAGCCATGGCGTCGATTCGGTGAAGGAATTGGCTTATACGCCGGTTTGGATTTTTGATATTGAGGTCCAGCCTGGTGGAAAGATTACGCAGCCGATCCCGGCTGGGTGGAACGCTTTCGCCTACACTTTGTCCGGCACGACCAGTTTCGGAAGCGGCGAGGAGAAGATGGAGGTCGGGCAGTTCCATAACGTCGTCTTTGAGCAGGCTGGCGATACCGTCACAGCAGCTGTATCAGCCGATGCCACGGAGCCCTGTCACTTCTACCTCGTTGCCGGCCTCCCGCTCGATCAGAAGGTCGTGCAATACGGACCGTTCGTCTTGAACAGCCAGGATCAGGTCTATGAGGCGCTTAGGGATTACCAGAACCACCAGAACGGATTTGAGCGTGCTAAGGGATGGCAGAGCGAGATTGGGAAGAGGATGATGCAATAGGCAATCCTATGGATGGATGGGTTTATGTTGTTAGAGATTGGCATGGATGGAGTTAAAACTGGGAATTTGTATTGTAGACACAGCTTCAGACTTGAATTGGAATTCATGATATCATATTTGTACACTCCTACTCTTATTTCCCCTTGTGAAACGTAGGCTTAGTCTCCTTATGCGTAGTAGAAGGACTACAGCTCATCTTTATAATATAGCTCCTCACTACCCTCCTCCTCATCCTTCCCATCATTCTTCTGCTGTCCCTCAGCCTTACCCTCTCCTTTCTCCTCCTTCCCCGTTTTCTTCTCCGCCTTCCCCTTCTCCACCGTCTCTTTCCACTCCCCCGACCTATCCTCCAACTTCTGCCCAAACAGCAACTCCTCTACATCCTCCCACGCCCGCTCCCTCCCCTCATCCTCCTTCCCCACCGCATCAATCACCCCCCTCACCTCCCTTCCCACCACCCCCTGCCCCTCCACCAGCGCAAGCGTCCACACATTCTCGCCCGCCGCAGCCCTCAGCTTCTCGGCCAACCCCTCAACAACACCAGTCGACATCCCCAGTTTCCTCAGATCCTCATCGTTCATAATGTGATAGCCGTCATTTTGTCCCAGTCCATGGGCTAGGATCTCAATCGTCACCACCCCGTCGGATTCTAGGCGCGCATTAAGAGAAGCTGCCAACTTCGCGGAGTCGGGGACGCCGGGAGGCACCTTCGCTGCGGCGTTTCCGCCCTTGCCGTCAGACCCGGCGGTTACTTTTGTGTTGGAGTTGGCGATCATGGTGGGTTTCTTGGTGTTGCCTCGCACATTCACGTTCCAGAATGGTGGTGGTTGGAGGAGCGGCGGGTCGGAGGCGGGGAAGTACTCTCCGCCTCCTACTACCGTGCCGCCGATGATCAACGGTTTATCTTTCGCACTCTCCTTTGCGAGGCTCTTCAGGATATCCGCTGCATTCTCACTAGTCTCCGCCGCTGCTTCACCGCTGGCGGCAGGCTCTTGCGGCGCGGAATCGGTGGCGGAAGGCTCGGTTGTGCCCTCCTCCTCGCCGATGATCGGCTTACACAATATCTCCAGCGTTTCAGCTTGGGTCTGTGGTTGAAATGCAACATCCTTGCAGAGACGAGGCGTGTGCACTACCATCAGATACGAACACGTCGTCACCTCTTTGATCCAGGCGACCCGGTCAACTTCTATGGCGCCGCAGTGGTACTGGATCTCGATCTCCCGGGGGCGCATTGTGAGGTCACAGAGGGTGCCGCTCTTCATTTTCTGGGCCAGGTAGCGATTATCCCCATTATCCTGCAAGATACCCTTTATCTCGTCGTCCTCGTAGTACTCTGAATCCTCCTCCTGCGATCCTCGAAGCTCGAGCTCACTCCTGCCCCCCGCCTTCTCGCTGGAACCGTCATCGTAGAACTTCCCATGCGTCTTTGAATCTTGTCCTGCAATCTTCTTCGCGCGCCCGAGGACAAATTGTGGCGTCCTCGGGTCACGGACGGGTGGGAATTGTGGACGGCCCGGCTGGGGCGGCGCGGCGTGGAATTGAGTGATAGAGTCGTTGTAGCAGAACTTGTAGGACCACCAGCCAGACGTGTAGTAGAGGCACGATTTGCCCAGCGGGGCGAGAAGCTCCCAACCGTGGGTGTTGGCGCGCGAGAGTTCTAGAGCGAGCGAGGCTTTGTGGAGTGCTTCGCTGGTGAGGTTGCGCTCTTCGGGCGGGCGCGGGATTGAGCAGAGGTGAGGTGTGGAGTGCAAGAGTAGGCGGGTATATTCGAAAGGTATGGCGGCGGGTTCTGCGCCATTTGATGGCTTTGGAGGTTCGAGGAGATCTGCTGCTTCGGAGGACGAGATGGAGGATGGGGAGAAGACTATGCTGTACTACGAGGACGTTTAGTGTTTAGCCATGCACGGAAGGTTGATGTATCATACTTGTGGGAATGCATCGATGTCATCGTGTATGCTGAAAACAGTTTGACTAGCTGATGCCAGTCCAACTGCAGCAATCAGTGCTGCCAAATCTCGCCGCATCGTGCCATATATTGGTTTCCGTATGAAGCTTGTAGTCTTGTGAGCTTGATGACCAAGGGCCTCTACAGCGGCTCGGGTAAATATACAGCCGGCCAGCGCCTCGCTGCGGTCTTCATGGCACCATATTGAAGTCACGATAACGAAGAAAACACTATCTAAAGGGCCAATCACAATATCGAAGAAGCCATTGAAAGTTATGAGTTTAAGTTCTGCAATCAGAAAAGGTCGAATTCCTAGTCCCCCTACGCCATGATATAGTACACCTTGCTGTTTGCCAAAGCCATTACCGTAAATCTAATCTAGTTGTACTGCATGTACGTCGCCGTAGAGTTGAACTTGAGATTGCCCTTAATGACCTTATCCACGGCGCTCAAGAAGTCCTTCTCCGTCGCAACCTTCCTGCGTGCACGGATGGCGAACATACCAGCCTCTGTGCAGACGGACCTCAGCTCGGCACCTGTCGAGTTGGGGCAAAGACGAGAGATCAGCTCCCAGCGGATATCGCGGTCAACCGACATGCTCTTGGCGTGAATGCGGAGAATGTTGGCACGGCCCTCAAGGTCAGGAAGTGAGAACTCGATCTTCCTGTCGATACGTCCAGGTCTCATCAAAGCCGGATCAAGAGTGGACGGTCTGTTGGTGGCGAACATGACCTTGATGTTTCCTCTCGCATCGAAACCGTCCAGTTGTGTGATCAGTTCCAGCATAGTTCTCTGGACTTCGTTGTCACCTCCTGCACCATCATCGAATCTGGCACCTCCAATGGCGTCGATTTCGTCGAAGAAGATGATACACGCCTTCTTGGTACGGGCCATCTCGAATAGCTCTCTGACCATCCTCGCTCCCTCTCCGACATACTTCTGGACCAACTCGGAGCCAATAACACGGATAAACGTCGCATCTGTCCTGTTCGCCACGGCTCTGGCGCAGAGTGTCTTTCCGGTTCCAGGGGGGCCGTAGAGTAATGCTCCCTTTGGCGGATCAATTCCGAGGTTGACGAATCGTTCGGGTGAGAGTAATGGCATCTCCACGACTTCTCTCAGCTTCTCCACCTGCTCCTTGCATCCACCAACATCTCCATAGGTAACATCTGGCTTCTCCTCCACTGTCATCATCGTCACACTCGCATCGATTTTCGGTGGCAAAGGAAGGAGGATCTGGTACTTGTTGCGGTCGACACTGTAGATACAAATTAGCTATAGTCGCAGAGCAGCTTGGATAAACACTTGCCCAACTCGCATGCCCTCCTCGATATCCGTAGGCGAAACGCGCTCGCCGAGCTGCACCACGAACTTCGCTATTTGCTTGACGTTGATGACATATTTGCTCTTCTCCGAATTCTTCTCATCCTGGATAATCTTTGTGCACCTGGCTACTTGTAAAGGCTGCTCCTCCGACATTCGTTGCCTATCGGCGGCGACATCCCAGAGATGCGGTGGCGCAAGACCGGTATCTGATTCCTTGACGCCGATCTTGTCGTTGACGCTCGTCTGCTTCTCTTTGATTTGCTTCTCCAGCTTCTTTAGCGCTGATGCGTACGGCGCAGCACCATACGTTTTTAAAACTTGGATATCCCTAAACACTAGATGTTAGGATGGTAATGCCCGTTGGATTGATCAGCTCAGCACGTACTCATCAGATAAAGGTGTGATCTTCTTCTCTTCGACCTCATCATCCGCGAACTCCTTCTTATACTTTTCCCAGTCCGCACCCTTGGCAGTAGGCATGGTGAATTGGAATACGACGAGGTGATATAGAAGTGTAGAGGATCTAGGCCGGTCTTAAAAGTGGTGGTTGATGTCTGATGTTTGGTCGGGGCCGCGATGTTTCCAGGCGACGCCAGGTTGACGAGGCTCGCGAAGCTCACTCACTCAACTACCCTGCTCATGTAAGCGGCAGCTATCTAATGTGGGTTAGCGCGGGCTACGGCGAACTTTTGGAAAACGCGACCGATTACTAGCTAAACGCGATGTTTTATAGAACAGTCCACCATTATCCTGTCGACTTGTGATAACCCCTTATACCCTCACATAGACATACAAGATGGCACTCGCAGCGTCCCAGGCTAATTCTAGCAACAATGCCTTCAAGGTACGCTCCATGCATGGTACAAGCTTGTTCAATACTAATTATATATGCAGGACAAGGAGAAGCCTATGGCTGTGCGCACCGCCAACATTGTCGCCGCCAGAGGTACGCTGCACACTTTCAGGACCCTGCAGTTATGCTGACTATTTATAAGCTGTCGCCGATGCCGTCAGGACGTCTCTCGGACCAAGGGGTATGGATAAGATGATTCAGACGGGGAAGGGGGAGACGATTATCACAAACGACGGAAACACAATGTTGAAAAGTATGTCCGTTATGCATCCATCGGCGAAGATGCTGGTCGACCTTTCATCGGCACAGGATGTCGAGGCTGGAGATGGAACGACATCTGTGGTTGTTATCTGCGGAAGCCTGTTGGGAGCGGCGGACAAGTTACTCGGAAAGGGCATCCACCCCTCAGTGATCGCCGAATCTTTCCAGAGAGCCGCAAAGGCATCAGTTCAGATCTTAACCAACATGTCACATCCAGTTTCCCTCACCGACACAACTACTCTCCTTCAAGCCGCAACAACATCCCTGTCCTCCAAAATCGTTTCACAACACTCCAACCTCCTTGCCCCGATGGCGGTGAACGCTGTGACCAAGACCATCGATATCAAAACCGCAGATAACGTTGACTTGAAGAACATCAGAGTTGTCAAGAAGGTCGGCGGGACTATCGAGGACAGCGAGATGGTTGAGGGCCTGGTCCTTACGCAGGGTGTTCTCAAGAGCGGTGGTGGCCCAATCAGAATGGAGAAGGCACGGATAGGTCTAATCCAGTTCCAGCTGAGCCCTCCCAAGCCAGATATGGAGAACCAGATCGTCGTCAACGACTACAGGCAGATGGATAAGATTCTGAAGGAAGAGCGCACATACCTCCTGAACATGGTCAAGAAGATCAAGAAGGCGAAGTGCAACGTTCTTTTCATCCAAAAATCCATTCTCCGCGACGCCGTCAACGACCTCGCCCTCCACTTCCTCGCCAAGCTCAACATCCTCGCCATCAAGGACATCGAGCGCGACGAGGTCGAGTTCATCTGCAAATCCACCGGCTGCAAGCCAATCGCCGACATCGACTCCTTCACCGAGGACAAGCTCGGCTACGCGGAGCTGATCGAAGAGGCCCAGAACTCCGGCTCCAAGATCGTAAAGGTTACCGGCACCAAGAGCGCCGGCAAGACCGTCTCCATCATCTGCCGCGGCGCCAACTCCCTGATTCTCGACGAGGCCGAGCGCAGTCTCCACGACGCCCTGTGCGTCATCCGCTGCTTGGTCAAGAAGAAGGCTCTTATTGCGGGTGGTGGCGCCCCTGAGATCGAGATCGCGACCCAGCTGGCGAAGCAGGCGCGCCAGCTCACAGGCACTGAGGCCATCTGCTGGAAGGCGTTTGCGGATGCTATGGAGGTCATCCCCACAACTCTTGCGGAGAACGCGGGGTTGAATAGCATCAAGGTCGTGACGGAGCTGAGACACAAGCATGCCAATGGAGAGGTCAACGCGGGTGTCAGTATCAAGTCTGGTGGTGTGAAGAACGACATTGGTGACGAGAACGTGCTCCAGCCGTTGTTGGTGAGCACCAGCGCCATCGAGTTGGCGTCGGAGACTGTAAAAATGGTAAGTTCATTGATTCCAAGCCTGTTACACTTATCGTTGCTAACCCCCTTTTTAGATCCTAAGAATCGATGATATTGCATTAAGCAGGTAAAATGGAGATACAAGCTAAACTGTATTATATCATATTATGAATGAAAATCAGTCAAAGGCTGTGTAGCCCATGATATAAATATTTTAATGAATCTAAATGGTCTGTCGTGATTTATATTAACCAGAATTAAACCATTGGATATGCTAGTCTTATAAATTAAACTTCCACAATTCCACGGCCATAATACTCTACTATTATCTCCACATAGCATATAACCGTTCCAAAACCCCACTGGCCTGGACAGGCTCTCCTTTCCTCGACCACTTTTGAAGCAGCCCGATAATTTCCACGTATGTACTATAACGAGGTTCCTCTCGTCCCCAGAGTTGCATCTCTGCATATTTAAGCAGAGTATCACCAAGTATACCCCCAATCTCTGGATCGGCACCACCATCATCCAGCAAAACATTCACCACCTCAACACGACCATTAAACACCGCTCTCCCCAAGGCACTCCATTTGCCCCGATCACAGTGATTAACCTCTGCCCCATTCTGCAGAAGTAGCCTAACCACATCTCCATGGCCCTCAGCAGCTGCATATAACAGCGGCGTCCGATCTCCTGGTGACTCCACAAAGATGCAATGCTTCTCATCCCCCGAATTCGGATCCGCGCCCCGAGCCAACAGAATCTCCACAATGGCCACCTGCCCCCTCTGCGCAGCCCAGCATAATGGTGTCCAGCCACGGAGATCCCTCGAGTCAGGATCCGCCCCTCTATCCAGTAGCCGCGTGACGATCAACTCCTGGCCATCCTCTGCGGAATGGGATAATACTGTCCGTCTATCAGCGAACCCCTTTCGATCTATATCGACACCATCACCTTCCCACTCTAACAACGCCCACACAGCATCCTCGTGCCCACGAACTGCGGCAACTGCTAGTGGCGTTGTACGGCCATTTTCCTCTGCGCCATTTGGTTCAGCTCCGGCTTCTAGTAGAAGCTTCACCACACTCGCGTGGCCGCTCCCTGCGGCCCAGAATAGTGGTGTTCGATCGCTGTCTTGGTTTTTAGCATTGATGTCCGCTCCATGGTCTAGGAGCAGTTGGACTATGCCCTCGTGGCCTTTGGAGCAGGTAATGGTTAATGCGGTGTGGCCTAGGTTCTCGTATTGACCACGGTCTGGCATGACGCCTTTTTGGAGGAGGGTTGTGACGAGATCTTCCCGGCCGTGTTTGGAGGCACGGAAGAGGCGGGTGTTGGTATCTTCTTCTTCGTTGTCTGTTGCTTGGTCCATCTGAGGTGTTCCTCTTCTTGGTACTCTTAATTTGGGGCGATATGTTATTGAAAATGCCGCATAGAGGCATATGAACACCGCCAGCCTTGCGACGCGCTAAATCCAGACTTATGACCTACGCAGATCATACTCGGACTTAAATCATCTGCAAAGTGAAATATACATATTCTAAAGGTTGTTGCATAAGCTCCTCTCACATATACTATAATTGAAGATATAAATCGAAATGAAATCACATAAATATACAACCGGAAAGATAAAAATATCAAATTCAATAAATATATAACCAGCAACAATCAGATCAATATTAATGTTTACATCAATTATAATTCAAGTAAAGACGTCCAATCACACAGAGCTACAATTATCAAGCCAGCCACTGAGATGGAACCAAAGAGAGAGAGATCCTATCACTTTACATTGGCATTATGAATCCACAGCCATAAAACCCCATAATGCAAAATATGCCCTGTATTGCCACTTGAGAAAACTATATGCTATCTTACAACGAGCTTTTGCGAGCTACCCTAATTCCCAATGTCCCAATTCCCCCCCGTGCAAAAAAAATCGCCAGCAATACCCCATAATCGAAAGCTGTAGCCTGAGCAGCCAGCTAAACCAGAGCCGCGACCCGACAGAACCCCGCAAGCTTCTACTATGCCATGCAATTGGATACGCCCTGAACCTTGCCGGCATATAACCCTACTCGTTCCACTCCAGAGAAAAAGCAAGCAATCAGCAGTACCGGCACCTAGTAATTCAACTCCCCGCCCGCCCCGCCGGCAACCGCATCAAGGTCTTCGTAGCTCTTCAGACTCCTCCCTACCACTGCCTCTCTCGGCGGAGGGGCCGCACCACCTGCAGCTCCATCGCCCCATCTCCCCGCACCAGTCGCGCCAGGCCTGCCGTTCCGGCCACCGGGGGGACTGAGCCTGCCGCTTTCATTGCCCCATCTCCTGTCCGTTGGGCGTCTATCGTATGGGCCAGCACGTGGGTTTCCAAAGCGTCCGCCGCCGCGGCGGATGGAACCTCCGCTACGGTCGTCGCCGCCGGGTGCCCATCCAAGAGGTGCTTGGACGGAGTGACCAGCGAATAAGGCTGGGAATTGGCCTGGTGGGCCGAAGCTGCCGAGTGGGGGGATCCCATTCATACCGAAGGAGTTTAGGTTGAAGCCGCGGGGTGTGCCTGCAGGCTGGTGGCCGTTGGCGGGTGGGAAGTGGCCGTTGCTGTTCGCGTCGGAACGGGAGGGAGCAATGTGTGCTGGATCGGAGACGTAGGTATTAACTAGCTCAAACTGGGTATTGTTAGTAAAAGCCCGGGTGCTGAGTTAGGCGTTGACTTACTTCTTTCTTTATACCTTCAAGCCACTCAGGATGTCTCTTCTCCACGTGCTTTCTCCAGAAATGTTCTTCTTTGAAGAGCTTCGTACACTCCGGAACATGGCAGCGGTATTTATGCTCGTCTTCCTGTTTCACGTGCTTGTCCATCTCCTCCTCCACTGCCTCTTCCACTGGTCTTCCACCAAGCTTGCGAACATCGATGTCCTCCGGCTCAATGATCTGCAAGATCTTCTCCTCGAAAGTCTTTACCCAATTGAACGCACGCTGAAGTTGCTGCTCCGTTTTCGATGCAGTGCTATTGCGGTTGAACTTTCTGTCCGTCTCCGGCGAACCAGGAGCCTCGCGCTCCTCTGCATCACTCTTCTTCCTGTCAGGAAGGGGCTCGCCGTTGGCGCTAGCACGTGCTGCAGCCTTGGCTGAGGCTGTCAACGTATTTCTTGGGCGACGAAGATGGCCACCCGGACACTTGCGAGTCAGTTCATGAATAGAATCGCTCTCGAAAACGCAGAAGAAGCAGAAGTTGAAGACTCTTCGCAAGTACTCAACCATTAGATCAAGTTGTTTCTTCCTGACCAGCAGTTCATCATCGTCAACTTCATCATCGACCGCGCCTTCGTCTTCCTCATCTTCCTCGCCTTCTTCGACATCGGCCATAGCCTCGTCGCCGTTGCGTTCAGACTTAGCCTTTTTCGGCGCAGGTACCGCAGGCTTGATGAGTCCCTGGCTCTTGAGTTCATCAACCTTCTCTTCAATCTTGAGAACGGCATTGAAATCTGATCCAAAGTCTTCTTCATACTTATTGATCAGTTTCGAAGCGAGGTCAAGGTCCTTCTCGATGCGCTCAGGAGCGGAGAACAGGTCCCAAAGAGCCTTTTTCCTTGGCATCAAAGGTGGCACGTGGACGCCGACATGACAGGTAAAGTCCCCGCGCACTTCATCCTTAACTTGTTTGCCATTGATGGCTTCCAAAGCCTTGTCGGCTACAGATACTGGGGCAGCCGGCTGTTCTGGTGCCTCGCCATCCCCTTCATTTGCTTCGGGACGATATGAAGGGGAAGGGGCATCTGATCCGGGATTCAGCATAACCCAGCCTATCCGATGATATCGCTTGCTTGGGTTAGGGTCGCTCAAACTGAGCCATTTGAAGCCTCCTTCGCCCTCGCCAAGGTGTTCCTTGCAGAATGAAACCACGTTATCACGATTGACGTGAGGGGCGATCGTTTTGATGAGTAGTGTCGGTAGGAAAGCATCTTCGTCTCTTATATCACTTCCTTTCGAAGGTAAGAGATCCCCAACTCCAAGGACCTCGTTCGCTGCTGTAGTTTCGCCCTCCTCTTTCTCAATAAGGGTGCCCGAGCTATTTATTTCGCCCTTTGGAATGCCCTCCAGTGAGTACTCGTCGAATATCCCTGCATCCAAATCCCGCTCCCATCGGGTATAATTTAGGCGGCGAAAGTCATTGAGCCTCGCCTTCAGTGGCTCTCTAACCTCAGCCATGTACCTCTCTTGAAACCACTGCTCGTTTTTGTGCTCCTGAACAAACGTTTTCGCCATTTTTGCCTGTAGGTCTTCTTTATATGCGTCGTACGCGACCTGTATGCGTGCCTTTTCCTTGTCGCGATCTCCCTGAGACTCGCGTTGACCGCGAACTCTTTCTGGCTCCCGCCTCCTACCAGTCTTTTGTCGCTCTTTCTCCTCCTTGATCTTCTCATTCGTCCTCCACCATTCTCCAAAGTATGAAAACCCCACTTGAAATTGTAGCTTCGATGGATCGGCTAGTGGATTCACTGTGATAGGAGCACTGCCAGAATCCTGGCCTGGAATGTATCGGTCGATATGGGCAGGCCCTGGTGATGGCCTGCGTCGCTCATCTCGATCTCTGGGTCCGCCATAATCGTCGCGAGGTAGCCGAGGGCCAGGTTCGTATCGGTCAACTGCTAATGGCGAACGGGAGCGGTTTCGTGGCCTACGTTGGCGGTTGGCACCTGTAACGGGCGTGATAAGTAAATGTCATTCAAAGAAGTACCAAAACGTAGCCGCAATGATGAACATGAGCATGACTTCAGTTTTGAGGAGGTGTGAAGTGAATGTAAACTCAAAAAGCCAAACCTCGAAGAGCAATGACACCTCGGAGTCATGCCGGAGGCCAAACAGGCCACAAATGGCAAGTATAATAAATCACATACCAGGAGATCTGCCACGATAGAAAGAATCCGGGCGTTCTGGGCGGTCATTTGGCCTCGCATCATCCCGATTAGTCCAGGTATCCCTCTCCGTCGGCGATCGCGTGAGGGGAGGTTCTCTGCTGTATTGGTAGCTCGCCATTTCCGAGGTTCAACTGTTGTTGCTGCTTGGTATACAGAATCGGAAATAAGTCGTGGCGGCTTTGTTGGCTTTGTAGCCACAAAGAGCTCGCGTTTGCTTCGTGTCAAGTTATACCCAGTGATTGTGATGAGGTTGTGACACCGAAGGAGCTGCTGTTTGTTGACATGATTGACTGTCAGAGGATTGCTTCAAAAGTATAGGATAAGGTAAGGTAGAGGTGCGCAAATAATGTGAAAACAAGGGAGGTGCAAGTGAAGTATGAAGAGGCTATCTAACGCCGATGATTGAAGGCAGCGGAGGTGTGCATGTGAGGTTTTGAGATGGGGAGGAGCGAAAGCCAGTATATAGGTCTAAGAAACAGGAAGGTATTGAATGCAAGAATTGGTGCGAGGGAAGGATGTAACCAACAAGAGATTGAATAGTACGAAGCAGCTTCAGCGCGCAAAACGAAGCTCCTCGATGAATTGGAGGCGGAATAAGAGGCGGGTAGAATGTATGGAGGAGGGTGGACTTGGGAAGATCGAAATGCGGAGAAGATGAGGCGTGGGAGAGCTTGTACAGTAACAGTAGAGGTCGGCGTTGTGACTTTGGGGGGCGCTAAGGGTCGGGTACGGCAGGCTATTGGGTGCAGTGGTGTCAATGGTGGTACTTGGTGCTGCAAGTGGTCCCCCAGCACCGCGTGAACCAACATTACCACGCTGCTTTAGCATATTTAGCATATCCGCCATAACTTAGTAACCTTCCCACCATTCCTCGCCCCGTTGTGTCATGACGGGCCACAAACAAGGTGAGACCAAGTTCCATGCTCTGTATCCTCTTCACACTTCATTGTTTATTTCCTAAAAACTACCTACCCAATTCAAGAATTGCTCAATTGTACAAAACAGAATAGGTGAGTTTTCCATTTTCAATTCATATTCACAGTGCCTATCGCATCAATGCTGCACATGAGTGTCTATGGGGAAGAGCTTCGTGATAAGAGCTTATGACGTAGGGCGAAGGCGACAATCGCCCCAGTATGAACAGTGGTTCTGAAGCCAATTTGACACTTAATGTCTACCTTCAGTGTCTATTCAGGGCTGCTGCTTATTCATTTGACCTTTTAATACGTCTTTCTATCCCAGTTTACGCTCTCCGAAAGCTACTAAAGAAATTAAAAACTGATAATTCATCCCCCAGGTTGCAACGATGACCACCTACATACCCTCACTCACGATCCCCTCGGGGATCCTCCTCAACCCGGCCACCTCCATTCTCCTCCCCGTGGCTCTGGGAACCGCCGTTGGATTCTCATCGAGACGTATGTACCATCTCACCCCCCCTCTTCTCAACTCCAAAAACTAACCCCCACCCAGCCCGTGAGAACCAAAATAACTACATGGCCCTCAAGCAGCCTCCCTGCCGCCCACCCCCCGAGATATTCGGCCCCCTCTGGGCCCTCTTCTACGGCCTCATGGGCTACGGCGCCTTCCGCGCCTGCAACTCCGGCCTCTCCCCCCTCCGCTCCCCCAACGTCATCCAAGCAACCAAGCACGGAGCAACGCTCTACACGATCCAGCTGGGTCTGAATCTCATCTGGATGCCGCTGTTCTTCGTAGCTAAGCGCCCTATCGAAGCAACCGTTGATATCCTCGCGCTCACTGGTACAGTCGGATATATGACGTACCTCTGGGGCAAGGTTGATGCGGTGGCGGGGTGGTGCATGGTTCCTTATTTGGGGTGGTTGTGCTATGCTTCTTATTTGAGTGTTGGGGTTGGGTATTTGAATAACTGGGATTTGTCGGATAAGACTGTTGATTCCCCGCCGTCGTCGAAGCCGGGACACACTAAGTTTGTTGATGAGAAGCCTTAGGATGGATGTATGCTACCGCTGGATGTGATACGAGACGGAAAGGGAAGGGAAGGGACGGATTAATTGGAAATTGGACTATTTGTGGTATTTAGGGGAAACAAAATGTATCGTCAGTGGCTTTATTCCTGTCATTACTGTAGATTAGGCTTTGTTGGAAAATAAATGTAAAGTTATCACTCTTAAAAAATATGTTGTTTCGTGTTACTCATCAATCTATAGAAAAGAAGCCCAAAACGCCGTCCATATGTCTGCCGCTGTATCGAACCAAGTCTCCCCTCTAAACCAATAATCCTTTCCTCCAACCTCATGTACCGGTTTGGCGTCGCCCAAGTGCCCGAATGCTCATCAAAGACGACCCATCATCTAACAACAATGTAGCCTCTATCTCCAAACGCCATTCTCTCAGCTCAAGAGAAATGCAGTTCCCTCTTCAAACCATCATATATGATAAAAATAAACGCTGATGCAGGTGCCGATCTAAAAACAGTGATCCCACAACCACGATACATCCCCTTGAGGCCCGCCTGCTTCCAAAGCGCCTTTCCTTCCGCCCAGAAGCTTGCTTGCTTCTCGGGTCCATTAACTGCCGAGGTCTGCATCCGCGACTTAACCGTATCAGCAGGGAAGAACAGGAAATTATATGACATTCCTGCCGTCGCACCAGCCACCGCCTGCTGCCATAGCGGCAACGGAGGGTGGACAGACCCGAGCACGTGCGGATCCGCTGTGCCTCCCTTCTTTTCGTTGTATTTGCGGAAGAGCATAGAGACAGTCTCTTTGCTCCCGAACCACGCAGCGCACCCTCCAGTCTCACGAATCAACGTTCCCATTTGCCCGTGCCAAAAGCCCATGAGGCCTCGGTGGCGGAAAACGTTGCGGATGATGGAGGAGACGGTGTCGTGTTTTGCGATTAGGCCATCGGGACTGGTGGCGGTCGGTACTTGCATCTTGCATTTGACGAGCTCGACGGGCGTGAGGACGAGGGAGGTGACTGCTCCTGCCACACCGCCTGTGCAGAACAATGCTGAGAGAGGTAGGGGGGTATCTGAACTGTATAATCCGGAGGCGAATAGCAGTTTCTGTGCCGCTTGTTCGGAGACGAAAAGACTGCTGTTCTCCAATGCTGCGCCGACTAGTGGAGCACTGATCCCTCGGTATAGGCCGGCCATGCCTTCCTGACGCCAGGACTGCCTGAAGCAATCGAGTGGCCCAGCGTATCGAAGAGGTTTGGTATCGGGTTGTGACTGTAGCCGAACCTTCACGGTGTCGAATGGGTACTCGATGAATTTTCCTGCAATGCCTGCAATCTTGCATAGAGTCAGCCTTTGGACAATGCTTAAAGGAGACGCAATGAGTAACAGTAGAACACTTACAGAGCCAAATAAGACATCTTCAACCGCATCCATCAGTGCACTCGCCCCGTTGATCTGGAGTCTGGGGGCTTGCTCCAAGACCATACTCTTCGGTGACTCAGCACCAGTCTGGCGGTCTGTGGCGTCCATTGCAAGTCACTTGGAGCAGAATATGCTCCCGCAATGTGTAAATTGCGTATTTAAATTTGTAAACCGAAAGAGCGTGTGGCAGTTGTTATCGAGTTACCATTTTGAAGAGAGAGGGGCGGTCAGGAAAGTAGAGATTGCGGTCGGTGAGATGAAGTGCGGGGCAAACACGTTCACTTGTGACAATGTTGTTGGGTTTAGGGCTTGGCTTGTCTTGATCAGGTATATATGAGAGATTTTTGTATGAGATAATTTGGTGGTAGATAATGGCGCAAAGTCCCTGTGTTACCTTGCTGTTTTGCGCGCGCAAATAGATAAAAACGGACCGCTACCTTTAAACTGCATGGTTGTTCTGATGCTTTATCAGATCATCAGATTATATTTTCGGTGTGGGGAAAAACTATAGTGCGGATAATTTATGCTTCCCGAATCTTTTATCCACCAAATCGATAAGGGAAACACTTTCCAATAACGTTATTTTCAACACGCATTCCCGACTTTCTTGCCAGCAAAATCGCCGGAATTATGTCTACCGCCGTCGCAGATGCTGTAAGCCAGCCAGCGGAGAAACCTGCCTATGGAATTCGCAAAAACGGTATGTCTTGAAAAATTGCTGTCGTTGAAGCTCGCACTGACAGTTTACTAGGAAAGCAATGGCACGCTTTGAAGAGCGCATTTCGCCCGAAAGCTGGCAATGATACGTATGAGAAACGTAATGCGGAGAGAGTGGCCATGAACGTTGTGAAGGCAAAGGAGAAGGAGATGAAGGAAGAGAAGGAAGCCGAGCGCCAAGTAAGTGGCAGACCGATCCGAGAGCGCACAGCTTTCTTTCAGAACCAAGGATTAGCGGACTGTTGCTAATATATTTACAGAGGAGGATAACAGCGCTCAAGGACAAGCGTGCTGCGAAGGAGGAGAAGGCGCGATACGAGAAGCTAGCAGAGACAATGCACAGGAAGAGAGTGGAGAGGCTGAAGAGGAAGGAGAAGAGGAATAAGATGATCAAGTCATGATGGAGAGATTGCATCGATAAGCTGTATACATGGATTGCGGGCGTAATTATGCAGAGGATGGCGTTGGGGATCTTGATTCAGGGCATAGTTGAAGGGATATAAGCCTAACGATGATATATGAAGTGTCAAAGAAGCTCACTCTCACTGGATTAATTGCGCGCTCCTTGCGATATCTCTGAGTGTGATGGTTTGCGACAGTCTATAATCTATCAGTTTTGAACTGGCATTCAAAAGAGGTCTGGGCTGGTGGAGAGGCATTTGGTGGTTCTCATTTGGGTTTGGAACAAGGCCCATCAGCCTTGCTACTACGGGAAGCTGTGGACAAATACTACCACTGGTACAAACTACACCTCATATATTATTGAAAGCTACTTATACTGGCTTGTATTTGATTATTTCCGGCTAATATTAAAATATAATTTGTATATTCGTAGACGCTACTCCGTAGACATTTTCGTGGTGGCAGTACTACCAGCACAGGGATTGCGGGGGCGGTCAGTCCACAACCTCTCGTTACCCGCACGGCCACAACGTGCCACCACTAACCAAGAACTGGGGTCCCAGAACCACATGTCAAATGACCAACTATTTAGTTCACGAGGGACTGAGATATTCGCCAACTCCTCTTGTAGAATCTCGTGCTCTATGCCGATGAGACATGCCCAATACGCCTAGAACCCAAGGTCTTACGGTAGACCCAACGGGCCTGCTATGTCATACCTGCCCCAACGTAAGAGCTATCGATCAAAGTCGTTGAGTAGATGAGGTTTATTCGCAGAGCGCTTCACAACAATGTCTGCAAATGGAGCTGCGCCCGAGCAGAGGAAGCGTCCTTTTGACGCTATTGGGATAGGAAGCAAGGACAGGGACCTTGTTAGGTATGTAGTCCCTTACATATACAGTAGCTGTCGCTGATGTCTTCCCCAGGGATCCAAGGAAGTCCCTACATGATTTACGAATACTCTCAAATACCACAACGAGCCGCCTCGATAATACATATTATTCCGTCCTAGAGAAGCTCAGTGTACTACAAGCTTCGATTGCCTCACTGAAAGAGCTGTCTTTGATCGCAAGGCAGCTAAACGAAGACTTTGACGATGATTCACAAGATGTCGCGAGGGAGATACAAGAGCAGATAAAAGCCTTTGGTGACTTCAAAGAACCACAAACGAAGATAGAATCTTTACAAGCGCGGATACAGACCGGCAGGGAGAAGGTGAACAAGCTAGGGGCCAGAGTCGAAGTGATCAGAAAGAGGGCAGAGCGCTGGGCCAAGGTTGAAGACCAGTGGCAGGAGAAGACCCGGAAGAGAATAAAGCTATTCTGGGGCCTCAGCGCCACAACAGTGGTGGTGCTGGTCGGACTGCTCATATTTCAGTATATACCAGCACGGAGCCCAGGGCCGGGCATAATGGATGGACTGAACGCTCAGGACAGTAAGAATGGTGTGCTAGACTTTGAGAGAGGTCTGGTAAATGAGAGCCTGACTATAGAGACTCAAGTTTCTAATGTCCTGGAGGGGCTACGAAAGTCACCAAACGACACTCGCGAGGACGATCCGCGGCTTAAAGTATTCGACGAATTATAATGTTAATATTGCCGGAACTATTGAAAACTACTGCCTCGAACTGTGATGATTGAGATGTCTGCGAGAAGCCAAATAACTGAGTCTTGTCCGTTGAGAGTGGACTCAACGGATACGGTAATGAGGGCCAAGATTATTTCTTTTATATGGCCTTGATCCGGCCTTGGCTACCTGCACGGTGACTTGTATGTTTGAGGGGTCGATATATTGAGTCCAACGTACTCGTAACCTGTTCCAAATTTACAATTCTGTGGCACTATATGTCTATTGTAGCTAACGTATTTCAAAAGCGAAGCGATCACTGAACTTCCCACCTAAAATTGAGAAATTTACAAGATAATAACTCAACAACAACTTCATAATATATATTAAAAATGTATTTCTAGCCTTTCCTATTTAGTTAAATTCGTACCTAATCATTTAGGAATAATCTATTCAGTAACGTAGGTCGTGGTCAGACCGGCTACATGGCCGGACCGGCTACCCCACCAAAATCCAGGACCAGACCACCAAACCACCAAGTTAGAAAATCGCAAATAATTCAATTACTACAGTGCCAATTCATCCAAATCGCTATCATATAGCTCTTCTTCGCTCTCTCTATCTAGTCAATTGTAGCTTTGTTTATAAGTTGTGGTGTTGTTCTAGGCCTCTGTGAAGCTGTTGTTGTTACTGCTTCTGCTTCTGCTACCTGCCACCAGAGTTCTTCTGTAGAGATGTGGAATTGACCCTTTAAAACAGCTCTTTTACCCTTCTTTTGCTCCCTTCTTTTCTGAATTATGTTGCGCAAGTTATCCGTCTCTCTTTGCTGTAGTATGTGGCGTGTGTTAAGCCGCTCTGTCTCATCTGCTAACTTATGAATATATCGCTTTGTAGGAGTGTTGAGAATGCCATGACTTATTGTAGTAGACAGAACTGTATTTGCTTTGTGAAGTGTTTGAAAATCAGGTGGACTGCTATTCAAAAATACCTTCTCAAAAATGTCATGCTCTGTAGGTGTCCTTGGCCGTTCTACTACAACGTCTGTAGTAGGAAGCGTAGCTGCGCGAATGACTGTTTGTGGCTGGAACGGCTGTAGCCCACTCCCTCTCCAAGCAGAATTGATATTTGAATTTGAAAAAGCAGCTGCTCTTGCTTGTATGTATGCATCCATCCATTCTGCTTTCTGTATGCATAGGAGCTGCGCCTCATTAAGGTGTGAGAGGGCTGTTGTGAGGTGTTTTTTCAAAGGTCCAAAAATCGCAACATCAAGTGGTTGCACATGTGATGTATGAGGAGGTAGTATAAGGAGCGATATTTGATTCTGTATACAGTGTGATATAAAGCTCCCGCTTATGTGGCTGTCATGGCCGTCGCAAATAAGGAGCCTTTGTTGTAGTTGTCCATTTGAAAGTGTTGCCTTTGCTCTTGTAGAGGGCTCAAAAACACGTTTTAGCCACTCTAATCCATGAAGATTGCTTGTCCACCCTTTTGTATTTGCAGAGAAGTGCCATTTGCTTATAACCTCCTTTGGAATCCAGCTCTGTAGTATGTTCTGTCCCTTGAAGATAATGAGGGTGTAATGGTGTGATAAGCCAAAATATGTATAGTGACTTGTAGGTTTGAGGAGGAGATTTCCAAGTTTGCTCTTGAGTTTGATAGCAAACTGAGTGCAACGAATGTCAGTATGACATGATACCCCTCTTAAGGACGTTTGTTAGCTGTGTGCTTGCCCTTTAGCCATGTGGCTTTCTTAGAAAGAAATTCTAGAATCAGCGTGGATGCATTTTTTAGATTTCTCTTAGGCTCCCAAGTGTTGTCACTTGTAGGATAGCCTTTCCACTTAACGAGGAAGTAGTCCTGACCTCTAAGTGTCTTTTTGTCAAGGATAGACTCTACTTCATATTCTGGTTGATCCAAAATCAGAACAGGAGGTGGAGGAGACTGAAGTGGTCTTAAGGAACTTTCTTGTGCCTTAGACAAGAGAGATGCATGGAAGACATTATGGATAGTCCAAGTAGGTGGTAATGCAAGCTCGAAAGCATTCTTGCCAATAGTCCTTGTGATCTTAAAGGGTCCAAGTCTTTTAGTATCAAGTTTGTCTGATGGTCTAGTAGTTGTGATATGTCTTCTAGACAAAAAGTCTTGATCACCAACTTTGAATTGTGGTGCAACCACCCCCCTGTTAAAGGCCTGAGCCTGCTCGTCTTGTGCACGCTGTATTTGGACCTTGAGATAGTCCTGGAGGCCCTTAAGGTAGATGATTCTTTCAGTAGCAGAAGGGTTTTTGAGATTTTCAGGACAATTAAGTTCTGCCACTTCAAACCTAGGTGATAACCATAGTTTGCATAGAAAGGTGTCTCTTTTGTGGTGTTAGAGACCGTGTTGTTGTAAGCAAATTCTGCAAGATGGAGAAGATCTGCCCAGTTGTCTTGAGCATAGTTTGTATAAATTCTTAGATATTGTTCAAGTACAGAGTTGACTCTCTCTGTCTGGCCATCTGTTTGAGGGTGATAAGCTGTAGAAAAGCGTTGTTCCATGTTTAAAAGTTTAGAGAACTCCTTAAAAAAGTTTGAAGTGAAAACTGCTCCCCTATCTGAGATCCAGTGTCCAGGAATTCCATGATTTTTAAAGACCACCTTGAGGAATAGCCACGCAAGTTCAGAAGCTGTGATAGTCTCATTGCAAGGCTCAAAGTGTGCCATTTTTGTGAGCCTTTCTACCACCACAAGGATAGAGTCATAAGGGGTAGCACCCCCTTTTGGGATAGAAGGAGGCAACTTGACTATAAAGTCAATGGATATGGAGTCCCATGGGCGTTCTGGTATAGGTAGAGGCTGCAAGAGGCCATAGGGCTTTTGCCGTGTAGGTTTGTTTAAGTTGCAAGTAGTGCAAGAAGATATATAGTCTTGAAGAGTAGTCCTTAGACTAGGCCAGTAGAACTTTCTTGTTAGAAGTTCATAAGTTTTTGCAAAGCCAAAGTGCCCTGCAGCTGGAGCATCATGGAATTGCTGTAGGAGGTGTAGCTGTAATCGTTTATCCCTTGGGACATAGATATAGCTCTTGAATAAGAGAAGTCCTTGCTGATTTTTTGAGAAATTTTGTAGTCCAACTTTCTCAAGAGAGGAGCCTTTCTTCTGGAGGTATTCCAAAGTTCTTTTGGCAAAGGGATCGTGGTTGTAAGCATCTTTGAATGCTTTAAGAAGTGTTGCTGAGGGTGTATAGTCTTTAAAGGTCTCTGGTTTCTGAGAAGAGGTAATGGGGGCAACTTGGTCTTGAGGGGATAAGTTTCCCTCTAAGTCCTCTGTAATGCGAGGGTTGCTTAAAGATGCTGCTATAAGCTTTGTAGAGTCTAGCAGGGCCTTTGTATTGCTTATTTTAGCAGAATCTTGGTAGTCATGTCTTCTTGAGAGGAGATCTGCTCTTTGATTCTTGGCCCCTGAGACATGTTTTATAACAAAGTAAAAACCTCCTAGTTGTTCAGACCACCTTGCTTGTCGTCGATTGAGCTGTTTAGTGGTTGTAAAGGTCAAGAGATTTGAATGGTCACT